ATCTGTAGTGACGCACATTAAGTAGTATGGTGTGCACATTTTTATATTGTCGTTTCGTTGGGGCTAGTTAGTCTAGCATAGTTGGTCATCGATTGAACATAGTTTTGTGTCTTGTGTTTTTTTTTTGTTTTTGTTTGTTTGTTTGTTTTTTCTCAACATCAATCGATTTCATAATAAAATAACAACAAAAAGGTCCGTATTTCATTATAAATAATTTATGTACTTAATACAATGAGCGGATGTGAAGACTTCAAGTCTCTTTGAGCCGACGGTGGCGCATCGAATTTCAAAGGGGACGTCAATGTAATTTTACAACTCGAATCGAAACTAAACAGCGCGCCAATTTTAAAATTTGCTGTCATTTCCTCCCATTGACTTAATAATTCCATTTTACTCGGACAAATGTTTGCTGTGTTGAAACGATTTTTATATGTATATAAATACATATTCGGTCGGTCGGTTGGTCGGTTGGTCGGTCGGTCCATACATAATAGTTGCGAACTTATGCGTGCATCATAGCGGCGTTCTATAGATATTTTTATTTTGTATATATGGGAAAATGTCGGCACCAAAGAAAGCCAAATAGATTATTTCATACTTTTGAGATAGATGACAAGCAGCAACATTCGTTTTTCAATTTGGTGGCGATGAATGAGGATGAATGTGTGTGTGTGTGTGTGTGTGTTTGCTTGATCAATTCGATTTTCGGTTTGTTATGTTAACGACGACGACGCCATTTTGTAGTGATGATGCACAAACAAAAAAAAAAAACAAAAAAAAATCAAGGCTAACTCGATTTTAGCAGCAAGCAAAAATTAACAACCGCAACAGCATCACACATTATTCTTGACATTTTCTTGTTTGTGTCAAGAACTTTCTACTTTGTTACTTTGTTAACTAATTTGTTTAATGTAAACATATAAGATACAACACAACAACGACGCCATCTGTAGTGACGCACATTAAGTAGTATGGTGTGCACATTCTTATATTGTCGTTTCGTTGGGGCTAGTTAGTCTAGCATAGTGGGTCATCGATTGAACATCGTTTTGTGTCTTGTGTTTTTTTTTGTTTTTTTTTTTTTTTGTTTGTTTGTTTTTTCTCAACATCAATCGATTTCATAATAAAACAACAACAAAAAGGTCCGTATTTTATTATAAATAATTTATGTACTTCATACAACGATGCCATCAGAAGAGTTCAGTGAATATAAAGGGCTAAAAAAAGATTTATAAACTTAAAATACATACAACATAGAAAATGAATTATTATTAATAATAAATATATAAGTATATATATATATTAGGGTGGGTCAATTATTTTTACTCGATGGGCACATCGCGATTCTGGTACTATGGGCCATAACAAGTATTTTTGCCCAAGGAACCATATGTCTAAAATCATTTTCGAGCCTGCCCATTTTTAAGTATAGATTTTTTCCAAAATATTATTTTTTCTCTAGTCAAATGTGTATGCGGGGGTTTCTGGGGTCGAGGAATTCATTTTTGATATTTATTTTGCGATATAATAACGTTTTGATACGATTTTCATACAAAAACTGGCAAAAATGGTCGTTTACTTCTTTTTTTTCCAATTTTTTTTTGTTGATGTCGATTTTATCATCGGATCAAAAAATTATGTTCTACAAAGTTGTTCAGAATGATGAGAGATATTTTTTGGGTCAGCTGCCCTCCAACTCCCCCCACCCCCTAGGGGGATCAGGGGTCATAACCCCTTAACCCCTGATTTTTTTACCTGAAACCCCAAAATTCGGCTTCAGCATGCCAAGAAACCTTTAGAAAGTCTTTTTTCCAGATGCCCTCCAAGACAATTTTCACAAAAAGTGAGATCCCCCCATTTGGGGTCAAATACTATGAGACTATGGGGTATTTTGCGTAAATCGGCGGCCAAAAAATTCAACTCATCTGGACGACGTCAGGCGATGATACGGAGTGAAAACAATAGGAGTGATTGTTATAGTTATTGTGATTGTTATTGTATTTTTATACCTATCCCAAATATATTGTACGAGGGCGACTATTTAAGTTTCTTCAATATGTATGTTTTAGTATTGCCCGATGCAAACCATTGTCATATTCGTAAAGTTGGACATTTTTCATGACCATTTGACTTAACAGGACGAATTTTAGTTTTGTGGTATGGCCACGGTGTCAGTTGGAAAAGGTCAACTTCGCAAAAAAATGAAATTTACAAAAAAGATTATTTCTCATAAGTTTTCAAAAAGAGCTGCCTGCTCAACAGTATTACTTCCGACTCAAGTCGGGGTATGGGAAGGAAGTACCATGCCTTGCCACTGTATACAACTGGTTCACTGAATCCCATCGTCATGGTGCTCGCTACAGTGATCAATTGCGCGATGGTCCTTCGAAAATTGATGTCATCGAGAAAAACTCTGGTGCCGATTGAGTTAGGATCGAAGTTTCTTTTACAGTTAAATTGTGGTATGCCCAAGGATCACAGAGACTCCAATCATTTGGTTCTTCCATGAATTACAACATGAAAAAAATAAACCTTTACGTGTCAACCCACAGTTGCTCAAAAATCGATTGATTTTAATCACATCCAAAAAATCATAACCAATTTGACATAGGATAATAAAAACACGTCTATACGATCGCAATAGAAGCCAAGACATGATTCCAGTAGTTTGGACCTGAAACAAAAACTTGGTTGACTCTCTGAGTCTTCAAACATGAACACAATCGAACAAAAGTTGTTCGTTTGTGAAGTGATAGGGAAAATCGGACCTCATTATTTTACAGTGTTATGTGTCATGTTGCTACCATGCCTTTAGAGGATGAAAGGTCCTTCAATGCTGAATAGTACACAACCATTTGATTGTCAAAAGTCATCACGGGAATATGGAGACCAAAACTCTGAAACTTATAATCCCAAAACATGGCAAAAAGAAGCCCATCAAACAGTCGACTATTTGACCACCCAAAAGATCGAATTGATGCACAATACTCCGTGTACGAATTATTCGGGACCCCTCTGTCCACCAGAGACCAAAATCAGTTGGATACAATATATTTTTCGTACTTGAAATTAGGTGCATATTCAAAAAAGTGCACTTTTTGGAGTGTCATGTTTAAGCTGCTGTCGTAGCCATACCACAAAACTAAAATTCGTCCTGTTAAGTCAAATGGTCATGAAAAATGTCCAACTTCACGAATATGACAATGGTTTGCATCGGGCAATACTAAAACATACATATTGAAGAAACTTAAATAGTCGCCTACGTATGCAGCTAGATATCAGTTATGGAATCGTGAAGAAAAAATGAAAAAAATTATATTTTTGACAAAGCAAATGATAAAGGTTTCAATTGTATGTTTGGATTTATATGTAATCTTATGATATAAACCCCCCGTCAAAAGTTTGGGCCCACCTATAAAATTATTTTTTTTTCAATATCTTTGCAATATTTAGTTAAAATTGAGTTTGGAAATTGAAGATCCAGGAAAATTTGACCTATCGAAGGTTGAAACCCAAAAAGTTTTTCGGCATACGGCCAATTTTTGGCCGTTATAAAAGCCCGGCCAAAATTCAACTTTTTACGTGGCCATCGATTTTAAAATGTAATGATGTAGTTTTGAAGCTCTTGAAAAGTACTTGCAATTAATGGTATAATATATATTGCAAAGATATTGAAAAAAAATAATTTTATAGGTGGGCCCAAACTTTTGACGGGGGGTGTATATCATAAGATTACATATAAATCCAAACATACAATTGAAATCTTTATCATTTGCTTTGTCAAAAATATAATTTTTTTCATTTTTTCTTCACGATTCCATAACTGATATCTAGCTGCATACAATATATTTGGGATAGGTATAAAAATACAATAACAATCACAATAACTATAACAATCACTCCTATTGTTTTCACTCCGTATCATCGCCTGACGTCGTCCAGATGAGCTGAAATATCTAGATGACAAAATCCAAATATATTGTCTGTCTAGGAGATTAATTTGAGAAGTATACTAAAAAGTGGAATTTTTGTTATATTTAGTAACTCTTAATGGTTGTCTCTATCGTAATCAGATGTTAGTTTGAACTCAATTATCTGGTACCGACAAATTGCAGTCTGGTACCGAACAACACAGAGCTGTTCATTCAATAATTATTGATGATAATTTTGTGAAGTACCTATAATATACGTATATTATTATGATGACTTGGCAAATTTAAAGCCAATCGAACAAACATATGTATTTAAGCAAATTTATCTCCTTCCTTTCAAGAAATAATAAGATTTGAATTTGTTTTGTTCTTATATTTTCATTCTTCATTTCGCACAATTTTGTAAATTCATATTTTCAAATTATTCATAGCATTCCGAAATTGAGACTTTAAACAAACTAAGAAACTTTTCTATAATACGTAATTATGAACTACTTATGCATAAGTTACTTATCAACTATTATATGAGCTGATCGCTTATCTCTTGCAACAAAGTATTTGGAAATAATCTTATTTTCATTTGTATTTCAAGATTAAAATTTACTTGATTTGACTTTGATTTCATTTGCACTTTTAATTTTTCGTACGAAGGTATAAATATCCATTACAAAAAAAAAATCAGCTGCGAATTTCATCGGGATTTTCACGGGTTCTCATGTCAACATTTTTATTAAATTTCAAATTTTTCTAAACAAATTTATTCCCAATGTCGATAGATATTCACTATCCAAACTATTGATAACAAATTACATACAATATTGGTACATTGTATCGCATATTCTAATCGCGGCTCATGTTAAAAAGGACTAATCTGCCACATAAATGCATATCACTTTTTATTCCCACTCATGAGGTTTTAAATCACGTTTTTATCGATTCGAAGCAAAACCAAACCAAAAACCTATCGTAAAAATGTAGTTATTATCGGGCATGTAGCACGTGTGGATATGATAAAAATCGAATATAAATAGCCGTTTCGACTTAGGTTATTCAAACAGTTCCAGTGATACATTTTTGCTTTGTCATTTGCGTAAAAAAAAGCTGCATTATATTTCGCATTTATTTATTTTCGATCGTTTGAAAAGTCTGTCGAACAAATTTTCTAAGAATGTGGGATCGTTGTCCAAAATGCGGAAAGCCATTAGTGTGCGAATCTAATGTATGGACGCTCCGGGCTTTAATCGGAGGTAATTTTCAACCTTATTTATTGTAATACGTAATTTATTCATTTAAGTATTTGATTTAAATATCAGGATGCACAGTTGGAGGAGCCATTATTGGAGCGGCCAGTCTGCCTCTTCTCGGCTTTGGAACAGCAGGTGTAGCCGCTGGTTCAGCGGCTGCAGCTTGGCAGTCGAGTATTGGTAAATTGAATTCAATTTTTAATTTGTCAATCTCTTGATTGAAAATTTACGTGAAATGTATGATTTTTTGTAAAGGAGCGGTTGCTGCAGGTAGTATATTTGCAATACTTCAATCCTTGGGAGCTACAGGCCTCGGAGTTTTACTCTTTGGCAGTATTGGTGCAGGAATGGGCCTACTATCATCGTCGGCTGCAAGAATTGGATGGTGTCCTGGTGATTGCGACCAAAAGGATCAAAATGCTGAACAAAAGGAAAAAGTTGACGATACGTCAAACAAAATTGATGCCTGAAATCCAACGAATTTCGATTAAATGTCTTTGCTCCGAAGAAGAAGAATATGCTGTTATATTTGAGAAATGAATTAAAGAGTATCTAAAATGTAATCACTGTTGTTTTCAATATATAGATTGAATTATATTTTTAGCAGACAATATATTGAACTAACTGGTCAGTTGAGCTGAAAGTACGTTAGCTAGCTAAATGGACTAAAACAATAGAAGTTATTGTTATAATGAACAATCACTTCTATTAAAACAAGAAAAGTGATTTATCATTAAAACAATAACGTCTATTGTTTTAGTCCATTTAGCTGGTTAACGTACTGTCAGCTCAACTGACCAGTTAATTCAATATATTGTCTGATTTTTAGGTAGAGACTTTCTCAATTCATCGTTTTTATATAAAAACCTTTTCAAAATCCACTTTAAAAATGTGATGTAGTGAAATTTTATATGCAAGAACACACTAAATATTCAGAATATCTATATTATAAAATCAAAAAATCATGTAAAAAAATAAAACTCAATCAATATAATTTTTATTAATGTAAATGTTTACGTTGATGATCGTATTTATTCAATATAGAGAAAACGAGAAAAATCAAACTCAAACTGAAAAAAACATCATTCTTTTTGAATAATACCCGTAACATTCAACCGCGCTTAAAAACAAGCGCTCTTATTTTCGCGTTTATCCATATACTCTATGTTTATAAAAAATTACATCACATGCTATGTTTGTGTAGTACTAGTAGCATAGTATGTTTGTGTACCAATGCTCTCACTTCTTTTTAACATAGAGTATTTGGACAAGCGCAGAAGCAAGCGCTTGTTTTAGACGCGGTTGAATGTTACGGGTATTTGTTTAAAATTCTAGTTCGTTGAAATGCCATCAAATTTCGCGCGTAATCGACCAATCGCGAGACGTTGCGATCTCAAAAGAATATATACAAACATATTCCATTCCATAAAGTATGTTTTTTTTTCTGTTTGCAAAAGCTTTCCATTCACTCATCAAAACACAGCTTTTTCCATCAACTGTACCATCCGATTAGTTACTGTACCGTATGTGTATCATCACAAAACCATCTGTACCGCTTTTTCCATCAACTGTACCCATTCGATTAGTAAGCACCATGTAAGTAACTGTACTGTTAATTTCATCAATTGTACCGATTCGAATAGTTACTGTACCATCACTTTTTTTTCTTTCTTTTTTTTTTTTGAAAATCCTATTCACACTTTCCTTCTTTCTTTCAAACATTTATGAAAAAATAATAAAATAAATAAATTTCTTTATAACCAGTTAAACATAAAAATAGCCAAATACTTTTTGTAATTGGCCCACGAGGCTGTTAAAAGTATGATGTTACTATGTATGTAAGTTTATAATTTATTGTAAGTTTGCATATAGCATTAAAATAAATAAGGAAATAAAGAAATCACGGGGGACGGCAGTCTCCCAAGTGACGCAATACTCCCATACATATGAAATATGTATATTTTGCGTCACTACATACATACATATATACGTTAAAGACATGTAAATCTAGACCGCTGACTTTTGGAAAGGGGTTTTTGCATATTTTAGTAGTGCTCAGGCACCAAATTAAGAATCCGCAAAAAAATTTAAAAAATTTCAAAAATGTCCACCAGGTGGCGTGTTATGTGACATTTTCGGCGAAAAATGACCATGACTTTTTTCACGTGATCCAAATTTTTAATAAAATGTGTCTATGAAAAAAATCAAAAAACTAGGCGTTTGTTAGGGACCAAATATGTGATGATTTGGCGTATGTGTCATATCTGGGAAAATTCGAATTTTTAAAAAAATTCATTCCGAAGTTGAATTTTTTTTCGGCAAATTTTCAATTTTTTGAATCACGTCATTCTTAGCTTATTGGAAAGACATTACGGTCATCTTGATGAAGCAATAAAGACATGTTGGAAAAATATTCAGCGGAAAAGGTTAGATCTAAATGACTAGACCTCGAAAAATGGGGAAAAATCGATTGTAAATGTATGACTGGCGAGCAAGGGGGAAAGTACTAAATCATTCCAATGCCAGTAATACGATCTAGTACAAAAAAAGTACCAAGTAATACCGAAATATACCAAGCTATATTAAAAAATACTATGAAATACTGAACATTTATTTCGATCTGTTACAACTAGACAAAAGTACGTATATTGACATCGATTTATTTAAACAAGATTATGAATATTTTCAAGTAAAGATTTTCAATTTTAAAATATTCACAGAAGTGGAAAAAACATTATAAATCGTTCAACGAATTGAAAGATTTTCATGTATTTTAATAATTATTTGTCATCCAAAATGCTTTCAAAATTGAAACACTTTACTTCAACACATTTAATTAAATCGATGTCAACATACGTATTTTTGTCCAGTTATGACGGATCGAAATAAAGGTTCAGTACCGAGTATCACTTGCGTTGTATATTCACAATGTATTTGAACGCGACTCGATTTAAGAAGCGCCATCTCTTTCACGCCCGGTTCTAATATATTTTTTTCTTGCAAATAAAATTGCAAAATTGTATAAATTGAATAAGTTTTGCAATAATAATAGCTAAAAGAATCAATAGAATTTATAATAAATAAAAAAAATTGAAAGAAACACACAAATATTTTATATTATACAGTATGTTTCATTATAGAGAGAGGTTGATTTAACTACCACAAATTTCAAATATCCTAAAAATGTTTTTGGTGTTGCCATATGAGACTCTAAGCTACTACGCCAATTAACAATGACAGCTCTCAAATCAGTACAGTGTTTGTTGTGCAACGAAAACATTATTTCCGAACATTTTCATTCACGGTTTGAAGCCGTTTTTCTGCATTTGCATCCAAAAGGACAAAGAATGTCGATCACATCGACTGCTAAATACATTAAAAAGTCAAAAGGGTTCGTAATAAAGTGAATCCAGCAGTATAAGCATGAAAAAAAAGTGAACGACCAGCCCAATCTGAAGCCAAACTGAGCCTCCTCGCAACAGGAAGATAAACGGAGAGTCAAGTTGTTCGATAAAAATTTAGGTATGTTGTTGAGCCAAGGTGTTGAACGGCTACGCCGTCTTAAAATAGAGGTCTCGCGCTCTACTATCAGGAGAAGATTAGATGTTGCCGGTGTTCGTTATCGCAGTAAATTGAAGAAACCGCTTTTGACAGAAAACCAGAAGAAAAAGGCACTGACGGGTCAAAGCAAAATTCAACAAGAGATTGGAGCGAAGTTATATACACTGACGAGTCATTCTTTTGGCTGGTGAATAGCACTACCCATGCCTAGTCTAGAGCCCAAAAGAGAATGGTCGTTCGCACGGTAAAGTATCCGAAAAAGGTGCATGCTTATGGTTGCTTTTGTGAAGCTGGTTTTGGAAAGTTGACCATATTCACGGGGATTCCAAGCGCCGTGAGGATGAACCAACATTATTCATCGACACCGTTACCCATCGCTAAGAAGTTCTATGGCAACCACAATTCGAATTGGCTTCTATTAGAAGACAACGATCCAAAACACAAAAGTCGTCTATGCAATGCTTGGAAAGAGGAAAATGACATTAAACAAATGGACTGGCCGCCACAGTCACCCGATTGCAATCCGAACGAAAATTTTTGGGCTATTATTAGGGCATGGCTTCGTGGTAAAACATACCGCAATTTGAAGCAGCTCAGTTCATTCATTCAGCGCCAGTGGAAAGGTTTTCAAAGCGAATATGCTGAAAATTTGAGCAAAAGTATGCCGAATAGATGTGCCTGTGTGATCGAGAAGGCAGGAGAATGGATTAAATATTAATTTGTGGCGCCGTAGCTTAGATACTAAATAGAATGTATATAAAATAATTTTGTAAAACTCTTGAGTTTTATTATAAAAAATCAACCTCTCTCTATAATGAAACATACTGTATGATATGTAGCTTTGCCTTGTAGACTTTGCCTTGTAAACCATGTAGAGATGGTTACGTGGAGAAAATATGTATTTGTCAAACATTGATATCTGTCAAAAGAAATAACGTAAACAACACGAAGTGAAGCTATTCTGGTGAATCATATAATATAAAATATTTGTGTCGTTGAAAGCCGACTGTAAGTGATACTCGTTCAGTACTGTATCGTATTTTTCAATATACTCAGAGAAATTGAACAGTGTGAACATGAATGTGTTCATTGTATTTCGCTCATTTACACTGAAGTTGTTTCTTCCCAGTGTGAATCGTCATTTTACACTTTGATTTTGCCAGTTCAGTGTAAAATGATTTTGCGTGAAAAAAACTATTTTTTTTAAATTATTAAATTTTTTTCATTTTTTTATTTTATTGTTAAATATCCAATGAAAGATTTAAAACTTAATTTGGTTTGATATTGATTCAATTTTTAGTGATTTTTTGCTCTAGAAAAAATTAGCATTGCGATGTAAAAAACTCAAACAAAATTCATCTCTCACGTTCATATTTGGGATAATTTGTATTATTTTTTCAATATTTAATCGATTTTGTACATTGAAAGAGACTAAACAACGATTAAAGTGTTTTTTATGCATGCAAATGTGCGACGGTTCATTTGAAAAACACACACTCTGCACAAGTAGTCATATAGTTTAGTGCAAATCATGCACTGATGTGGCTCTGTGGATACGTGTCGACTGTATCAAGCGAACGTTCTGTGTTCAATACCAAAAACATTTTTATTTTATTTTTTCATTCCAATTTAAATTATTTTCATTTTATTTTCAATCATTTACATTTATTTTATATCTTCCTAATGAAACAAGAAGAAAAAAAAATTCATTAATGCTATTTACCTTCAAAAAATAAATATTCAAGACTATGTGAATCAAATAGACTTGAATGTCCATGAGTAGCTTGGTATTTTTCGGTATTACTTGGTTTTTTTTTGTACTAATTCTAATATTTTTGGTAGACAAAATTTTGCATGACACACTCCACTCACACGCCATTCGTATATGAATCCTATGTTAGTGGAGAGTTTCTCTGCTTAATTTGCTTGTTATTTTGTCTATCAAAAAAATTAGATTCACTGTAGATCGTATTACTGGTATTGAAATGATTTAGTACTTTCCCCCTTGCTGGCGTGGCTTTTTTCCAACAACCAACATTGTTTTATTTGATGAAAATTGGGAAAAGTGTAAACTTAAGCGGCCACCTATATTTTAATATCCTACTAATCCACTGTAATGTGCTAGGTTTTTACTTTGTTGGTCCACTTTGACAACTGATTTTACATAATTCGGACCCGAAAAATTTAATGGTGGCAACCGTTTTTTGGCACGAGAAAACCGAATCTGACATTTATTTTACGCTAAAATCAGGTCTCAACACACTTAGCGTTAGAATTTTGTCATAAATTACTAAAAAGATTATTGATATGAGTACAAAACATTGATATGAGTACAAAGTTCTTTCGAAGTTCCCACTGTGACGCAATACTGTAAATATGGAAATGTTCTGATATAAATTTTCAGTGACGCGTTCGTTCATATACGCATACAAAATGTTAATATTCCCCCATATTTATGTTTTTTGGAGAGTACACTTTGGGTACAATCATTTTTCAACACTAAAAGACAAATAGAAATGAATATTACAAAAATTTGCGGCAAATTGAAGATGTCCATATTTTCGATTCCGGATATTGACCAAACTATGTGGTACACTTTCGAATGGTTTTCGGTACAGTGAAGTACACCTTTGGTACAGTAAATATACATATTCAACACGAAAAAATATTTTCATGTGCGGACATTTGAGTAGTCGTCCTATTTGAATGACGTCAACTTAGTTATAAACAATGCAGAAATCTTTAGTGTAAATAGAGCAATATATTAGCACTTTTTAATTTATTGATAGTTTCATTACAGGGCGTCTGCAACGAATTACACTCAATTCAAAACTTAGATCCAAAATTGCTCATTGATATTGAAAAACAATTGTTAATTTGCTATGAATTTGTAAGAGATACAAACCGTGCTATGACACACCTTTCACAACAATTGTTCACAGAGATTTATGGATCAACAACATCATGATTAAGAATGGTTCGTGAAATATAATATATATAATTGTATTGCCCAGAATGAATGACTACAAGCAAACTCGTGGATTGCATACTATTGCACTTTTTTAAATGTTGTTTTCGCTGGCAGTAATACAATGTGCTGGATTAATTATTTTATTAATACGTTTAATTTTGCATTCTATTCTGTTTCATTTGTTTAGATGATGCGGGAAATGGATTTTTATCAAACTTTTGTTTGCGATTTGATATTTTTTCTTTTTACAAGCGTCTGTGACATGGATTTGGCAATGAATTTCAAATCATTCATCGATCGTTATCATTTGGAATTTATAAAAATAATACAATTTGTAAATCTTCCTCTAAACGATTATACATACGAAAAGTATACCAGAATGATTAATATTAATATTATAAAACAAAAACTAATTAAAGATAACTGTTATCTTTTAGAATGTGGAACGAAATTCGAATTAATGCAAAAAATGAATTGCTGCATATACTATTCATTACGAAACTAACAATGGAAGATGAAAGCACCGTATCTTCGGTAAATGATATTTCACCCGAAACCTTTTCTAAGATGAAACATCCATCGAAATTGGCTCTGAAACGATGGAAATTCGTGATTGATATGTTTACAGAAAATGGATTATTTTGATGTTACTTTATATTATATTGAAAATAGTTAATCTTTATTTATTCTTATGTATACTATTGGTAATACATTTCGATTAATTGTTATACTTCTCTTAAAACTCATTTTTACTAGTATAAATTTCATAGTAATGGTAGTGGTAGCAAAGCTCTCATCTACGCAAATAAATGTCAAGTTTCAACATATAAGTTTAGTACGGCCGTGAACTTTCTTGAAATTTATAATATAAATAATATTCTTGGTGGGGATCAGAGTTGCGTTTTTCACACTGGAGCTGCATGCACATAGTAGACATCGCACTCACAAACTGTCATGATATATCAGTTTTGAATTTTTCGACAACTGTCAAACTTCTATGTGTGTGCACATTAAAAATAAAAGCATTGTGTGCGCCGCACACAGTTTGTGAGTGCGAAGTCTACTATATGCGTGCACCTCCAGTGTGAAAAACGCAACTCTGGTGGGGATCAGAAATGAGGAAAGAAATACTTTATCGCAGCATCTACATAATAAAAACTGGAGTGAATGATTGTTGTTTGCATCAGTATGTTGTAATATCTGTTATTGAAAGCTTGGTTTTGTGATCTTATTGATCTTATTCAAAATGTTACACATTTTGTATATTTTGTCATTTTTACATTTGCTTTTAGCAGCGTATAGTGAACACAATATTTCATCTGGGGAAGATATTCAAATCTAAAATTTTACCGAATTTCTGGAGAATAGTCTCAATAGAACCGTTTTGGAATACACATTGAAATCGTTAACAAGGCCCGGAGATAATTTTGGTGCTGTATTACGATCAGTTGTTTTGAAAGTGGGTGGTAAAGATAATGGTTCTATCGAAGTGAGTTTCTTTGATTCAATTAATACCATAATCGATAACACAAGTGGAAAAAATCAATATATATTTTAAAACACAGAATAACATCCGCAACTTGGTCATAAAAACACCAGTGACAAATCCATTTCTAGCTGAATTTTTCAAACCAACAGTGACATTTGTAAAAGAAGTTCACTTTTACTCGGAAATAATTCCAGCTTTGGAACAGTTTGAAGAGATTGCAAATGTACCAAGGGAAGAGAGATTAGACGCGTTCATTCCATACCTTGGATCGAGATTTTCATTAAACCCTAGTAAACCATAATATGATTGATCTGAATTAAGAAAAAATATACATATTTCTAATTTCACAGACGCAGAATATGCTGATTCAGATGCAATATTATTGCTTGAAAATGTGAAATTTAAAGGTTTCATCAATGGAGATAAGCGCATCGGCTTCAATACAAATGAAACATTGGCGATCCTTAAAGTATTCCGCATTCCAAATTCAACGTTGAATTTTGTTAAACATACAGTCATACACGAATCATAAAAATCTTTTTATTATTAACAGGTTTTGGCAAAATTTCATGCATTGTGTATTGCAATGAGACGATTGGAACCAACATTATACAAAAGAAAAATAGATCCGTTTATGAAATCACTTGACAGAATGAAAGAAATCGGCAGTCCAGTATATGAAGTATGTCCTGTTTGATAAGCAATATTCTAATTGTTGTAAGAAAAATGTTTATTTTTCTTCTTCAGTTTATTTACAGCGAGATAAAACTGGTTCTTAATCTCTCTGCGGAAGCGATTACTGCAATTGAGAGCATCTTTGCGAAGAATGAGAAATATAACAAAACCATTGCCACTGATACGCCGTACACGACAGTTGTTCACAACGACTTATGGATCAACAATATTATGATAAGAAAAGGTACTTTAAAATAAATTGTTCAAGTGCTCGATAATGAATGTGAAATTTTGCCTGATGTTATTTAATGGCGATGCTACATTCAAATGTAAAATTTCGTTTTATGTTTTTAGATACTAATGCGATAAAAGTGAAAATTTACGATTTTCAATTGTATTATTATGAATCGTTTGCGTTTGATTTGACGTTCTTTTTATTCACAAGTGTTCGCCGAAATGATTTGAAAACTAATTTCACGTTATTTGTTGATTATTATATTTCGGAGTTTCGAAAAATGATGAACTTTGTAAAATGTTCAACGGACGATTATACACAGGAAAAGTAAGTGAAACTTATGAACATTTTAATTTCAAAATACAATCACTACAGTATGTTTCTTCAGGATGTGGCAGGAATTTCGAGAAAAGGCGAAATTTTCGTTATTCCCTTCCATTCTTGTGGCAAAAACATCAAATGCTAATCATCACTCAATGCCATCGCTTGACAAGTTGAACGAAGATTCATTTCCGTTAAATAAGCCAGCTTCCAAAGCTGCCATTGATCTATGGAAGTTCATCATTGATATGTTCATTGAAAATAATCTAAATTAAACAATTTTTAGAGATTTGAACATAAACAATTGTGACAATAATTTGAAGATATTAAACGATTTGTAATCAAAATTATCAATAACTCAATAAACCAATTTATTTAGACAAATTACATTTTATGGAGCAAATAGAGATTATCACTGTACAAATATAATTTTCGTATTTTCAAAACGTAGTTTACTTTGTATGAGTTTAAATATGAAATTACAAAAAAAAGTTCGCACATGGCTTTTAATATCACACAAAAGTCTAACAACTAAACTAATTACTGATAAGAGTTTAACAATTTGTTTTGTTGTTGATGGTTTTATGTTTTGTGATCGTGAGTACATCTGTTTTTTATTGTTGCTTGACTTTTACTAAAACCTTTCCTCTTAAATGTCCTCTGGCGACTTTTTCAAAAGCTTCCTTGGTTGAATTGAATTCAAATGTAGAATCAATGACCGGTTTTAGTTTACCGCTTTCGACTAATCTTTTAAAATATTGGATGCCCTGCGATGCCGGTACAAAGAAACCCCATTTCAGTAGGCCACCGTAACCGAAAACAGTTTGGATATTGCTTTGTAATAAAGTTATAGCGCTTTTTATCGATCCAATAATAACGCCGTTCGTGTCAGTATTATTAAGAAGTGGCGGCGTTAACGTTATGTATTGTTCAAATTTCCATGGAAGCGTTCTTGCATATTCTGGACCCTGACCAGCCGCATCAAGAATTATATCAAAGCTCAAGCCGCGGAATGCTTTATTAAGATCTTCCGTTCTGTAATCGATTACATAATCGGCTCCTAGATCTTTCACGGTTTGAACCGAATTTGTGCTGCATGTTGCTGTAACTATCATTCCTTCTGCTTTTGCCATTTGGACAGCAATCGTGCCCACACCTCCAGATGCCCCCAAAATACATAAACGCAATCCTCTTCCGCCACCTACAAAAAGGCACCAAAAACAATGTGATAAATTGCAATAACAAAAGTAATTGTTTTTAAATTCACCTTTTGATGTCTTTGCTCCTTGAACGCCACCAGCCAGACCGGAAATGAACAAACTTGACCAAGCAGTAAGACCAGCATAAAGAACACCAGCAGCTTCAATATCACTAATGCCTTCAGGTTTAAGAGTTATCTAAAAATAAACAAGTTGAAAACAAACACATTGTCAACTGAAATGAAATATATTGTAAATGCGTTCAATGAACTTACAGTATTTTGGTTAACCACAACATATTCGGCAAGTGACCCTGGCATATGCGCTGGCACAAGACCCCACACTTATTTGGTTAAAAGTACATTAAATTTAGATGAAAGTAAAGACCATGACTTTGTAGCTTGCTTTGTAGTGATAATTAATTTAATACCTTTACTTCCTATTTGAATATCGTCACGCACTGACTTTCCCTTTTCCTTTACAACGCCACAAAACTCTCTTCCGGAAATTAATGGGAATTCCTTAATTTTACTTATCCATCTAAGAGTATTCATTACATTAGCTCCATAGCCCTCTAAAAATGTACATCAAATGAATGAATATTTGCTATGTCATGCGAATAATTATCAAAACGCAAAATTAGTCAAATATGTATACAAAACCTATCATAAGTTGATCGATGGGATTAACAGATGTACTATAAACTTCAATAAGCACATCATTCGCGGATGTTATTGCTGGCATTTTTAGCTGATCGCTAAATTGTAGCGCAGCAATTCCGTCATACTCGTCAATTTTCCATCCTTTCATTTGTTTGGATGTTTCAATGTTTTCATGAGATGAACTCGGTATATCTGCTAATGAACAACATTTCAAAAAACGTTAATTATAGCTTTAATCAGGCATTAAATTTCATGCTAGAGGAATTTCTCACTCAGAAATGTTATCAAATTTAAACTGAATGCCAAACATGCTCAATTTACGTATTTACTATAATTCAGATGTTGGTTTGAGGAAATTCGTCGAGGGTCATAAACATGCAGTTCGGTGAATTTAAGTAGTCATACAATGTTCACATGACATATTCGCAAATACGTAGATTAAGTTATTTGCCATTAAATATATGATTAAGGTTTTTTGTCACCGTTAGGTCATGGCTTTAAATTGATGATTAATTAAAAATGTTGTGGTTGATATAACCTCAATTTTTTAACCACATTCCAACCGCATTACTTTGGATGTACAAATTTTAACCACATAATTTCCAAATTCATCATTAATTGAATATTTTTGTAACCACAAAGATTCGTTTTGTGGTTGTTTTTTTCTACACTTTTGTTAGCCATTAATTTATTTTAACCACTTTCCGATGAATTTTTAATTTTATATCTAAATGAAGAGAAGTATTACATTCATGCTTCTGAGTTTATGAAGTTAAAATGTGAGAAATGCCCCTAGATTTTATACAAGCAAAAAAAACACTTTACCACCGCCAATATTATTAAATAGTGCACATGCTATTCTCAGAAAAAATGAAAAAAAAAATCCCCACGGCAGTCCATATGAAAAATAAAATTGTGATGAAAATAATGTATATAAATAGATTTAAATTATCAAGATAGTGTCTTCTACCGACAAATTACCTATTGATTTCCAATATTCGGCTGTGATTTGTATATAACCATAAAAGAAAGTAAAAACCGAATATATAGCAGACTTAAAATTCATTCTTGATTTTTTGTGTATAAAATGTGATGTGATTTGACAGACAGCAGACTGTGAACTGAAAACAGATTATCCGATACTGTGAATATCACATTGGGACTGTGAATGTTAATGTATACACATAAAACAAAAAATAAATACACAATTGACTTGCTTTTACACTGGGCCACTGTACATGCATACACTAAAAATATTCTTCACAAGGTCATGAATTTCGCAACTATGACCAACAAACAAATTTGCGAGTTTATTTTACTATCGCTACATTTCATAACACATAATCGCCGCTGACTCACTTGATAAACAAATGCGATTGCGGCGAACACACAACAAAACAAGCAAAATATAAAATAGATCAATTGACTCCATACACTCTTATAACATGTGATGTTTGTGTGCATGTGTTGTTTCTTTTATTCAAAAGCTACAACCTAGGCTACTACTCGGTTTTGCGCTGTATGTTTTGCTCCGTGAAATCGATGACAACCAATAAAATGAACTCAAACAAATTATTTCACATTTTGTTACACATTAACTGAGGAGTTTTTCGGGATTGGAATTTAATCTTTTTATCACATTTCTTAAATCTCAACTATATGCACAAGAGTGTATATACTTCAATTGTCTACATAATCTAAGTGCGCAATTGATGTCGAAATCTTTTTTACCCAGATAATTACATTATCAGAACAACACATGGAAGAACCGTCGAACGTTAAACACTTGTTAATCTTTTGTGGTGCATTTATATGCAAATGAGCTATACACTGCTGATTATATTATTATATGCTATACACTTAGCTTATTTTTATTGACATGCATAAAATCAACTTTGTATTACGTTTTGTTAAATTCGTTAAATCATTTTATTTTAACATTTTTTTGTAATGATTCTAAATAAGTTAACGCTGACATCAGAATTATTTCTAAAATATAAACATTTAAACGCACAAAAAAATAAAAATAAAAATGCTGTATTTAATACACAATACTCATACATAGAAGAAAGAGCTTTGAAAAACTTCGGCAAATTGAATCAAATTCACACAACTAGGTGGCGGTAGCTGTGTTGAACGATACGCATTTCGCTGAAAGCTGAGAAAATAAACAAATCTTGAACATATATAACTATAGTTATTTGTTTTACATCGAACTATCCAATATTTGTTGCAAGTGTTTTTCCCTCGCCAAATTTGAAATATTGACATTCGTTTTTTTAAAAGTGTGTTTTAAAATGTTTGTTTTAATTATATATTAAAATACTTTAAAACACCAAAAATGTACATGAACTTCAGATGAAGAAATGTTTGGTGTGCCAGACCAGAGAATTATCGACATCAACTGGCAGATGAATTCGATTCGGTGCACAGCACACTATTCGCATAATGCATGTTGTTGTGAAAGAATTAATGAATAGGGAACATAAATAGAAGCACTTTTAACTCTACGCCTCTTACGGATTGCCTGTTCATTTTCGTTCACGTTTTGATTTTTTTTTTAATTAAACCGCAAACAGCAAAACCATATGCCACCGCGATTCATGAAAGATGCAAGATCCATATTAACACTTTGAATTGATGAGAATGTGTGTAATTGATTAGTTTTATTATGGCATTTTAGTATCAAACATCAGAAGAGCTACGGATAATTGCAATACTGGCCCGCATTGCGATAAAAGGAAATCATTAATTTTGATTTGGTTCTATTCCATAAAATCGGTTTAGTTAACTTAAAAGTAGCTGCCGATGCCAAATCAGAAGGTAATTTTGTTGCTCTTTCCATGTGTTTTTTTTTCCTCCTCTTTCGAAAATACATTTTTTTATAGTACGAGGGTTGCTCCATAATTTTTTTTAAAAACATATATAACACAGTTGTTTTTTGTCGAAAATGGTTTTATTGTTTTTCAAAATATTCCCCGAGATGATCGATACACTTTTGCATTCGATGAAACCATTTGTCATAGCATTCGTGCCACTCCGAAACTGATATCTCCAAAACGTGTGTTTTGAACGCTTCAACTGCTTCTTCTGGTGTCGAAAATCGTTGACCACGTAGTTTTTTCTTCACGCTTGGGAACAAAAAAAAGTCATTGGGTGCCAGGTCAGGACTGTACGGTGGATGACCCATCAGTTCGATGTTTTGACCGGTCAAAAATCGAGTAGTTTGAAAAGATGTGTGAGAGCTCGCATTATCGTGATGAAGAATTATTTTGCGACGGTGGTTGTTTTTTCTTATTTCACCAAACACTTCGGGCAAACAAATGGTGGTATACCAATCAGAATTGACGGTCTTACGATCCTCTAGTGGAACGGTTGCCACATGACCACTTCTCCCGAAAAAACAGGCGACCATTCGCTTCGAAGTGCTTCTTGCTCGAACAACTTTCGTTGGGTTATCTTCATTTTGGAAGACCCATACAGTCGACTGCTGTTTCGTTTCGGGCTCATAGGCATATATCCACGATTCGTCACCAGTGACGATTTTATTAACGTCTTTTGAAGCACCACGATTGAATTTCTTGAGCATTTCTTTACACCAACTCACACGAGCCATTTTTTGTTCATCGGTCAATTTATGTGGGATCCAACGAGAGCAAATCTTTTTTACGGCTAAATGTTCATGCAAAATTGTATGTATGCTGTGGGATGAAATGCCCAAAGATGCCTCAATCTCACGGTAGGTCACATGACGATCTTCCATAATCAGTTTTCTGACAGCATCGATGTTTTGTGGCACAACAGCCGATTTTGGACGACCTGTATGAAACTCGTCTTTGAGCGAACTACGACCGCAACGGAATTCTCGGTACCAGTTATAAATTGTCTGAAGGGTTGGTGCTTCATTGCCAAAGGCCAAATGAAGTCGATCGAAACACTGTTGTTGAGATAATTTACTTCGAAAATCGTAGTAAATCATTTTACGAAAATCTTCACGTGTAAATTCATTTTTTTGTTGAGTCGCAGTTTACCAGTCACTGTAAACAATACAAATAGCGTTCGTACGACAAAAGGTTCAGGGCACGAATACATACCAAAACATCAAACTTTACGAATATGACAATGGTTTACATCGGACAACACTATAAGTACCATTTTAAAAAAAATTATGGAGCAACCTACGTATTGCAACACATGAAAGAAAAAAAAACAAGCGACGGAAATTTTGTGCATTTTGAAAAGTCTTATATGCGTTTAGATTTTGTTTGGTCGTGTGAATAACTGCATTCGGTTTACGGGTATTTTCATTTTTATCAAGATATGCGATAGCACATTCATATCGCATCTGGTGCACGTTAGAGAGAAACACAACACACGATTTGTTCTGACTGAGAATCCATAAATTTGTTAAAACGATAAAAAAGGCCGTTGCTTTTCAAACGTTCACTGGGAAAATTATACGGAGGAGAACAACAGAAGAAAATATTGCAATATTTTAATAGCAATGATGAGAAGAGTTTGCCACAGGAACTTCTTCTTATTCACACTTGTCTTCTCTCACATAACATTGATCATACATGCACCACACACTCAGTACATATAACAATGTTGCCGGTAACTCTACAAATGAAATGTTCTTGTGTATATGTGTAAAGCGAATTAATGCTCGTATTTATCGAGGAATTTCAAATAAAAAATATAATGTTTAGAGAAAGACAAAAGAATGAGCTCTTGTTTTTTCAATTTTTTTTATTCTACATAAGGCAATTTCACATAATTCACCGCGCGTTTGTTCAGTATTTATGGTCGTGAGGTACTACATTCGTGCTGTTGTGTCTGCGAGTTAAATTGAATAGTTTTTTTTGCTTCTCTCGCTCGAGAGTCATGTTCATCATCTTCAACATACGGTTTGCATTGTTCTGCGGGATAATTTTTGTAATTCAATGGAATTGGATTGTTGTTTGGGAATCAGATGAATTTAACATTGAAATTGATCTTTCAATGACTGCATGGTGTTATTGCATTCAGAACACGAGGTAATGGCAACAAAATCGACCAAATTCTTCTTTTTTTCCCTCTTCAATTTAAAACAATAACAAACCAATTTCAATGTGAACCTGAATCAACCTGTGGGCTTCAAAACCATTGTTACGTCACTCGTTGGGCATACTCAGGAAACGTGCATTCAAACGATTCAAATGCATTTCGAGTGTTCTTTTTCAAAAGCAGTAGACCGTACTTCCATACATAGACATATACACACAATATCGCACGTTTACGTTCAAGCTGATACACCAGCGGTTCGGAGCTCACTGTTCATGCTGTTCCGTTTTTCATTTCTTCATTCGCCAGCGTACACACTCTCATCATCTTCATCAGTGCCCATCAAAATAAAATCCATAAAACAGATTTATTTTTATGATTTTTTTTCTTCTCAAAACAGTATTATGAATTATTGCTTCGGCTATAGAGTACAGCCACAGCATATAAGTTTGATTTGAATGAACTGGCGTTTGTTTTCAGTTGAATATCATGCCGCAGTGAATTTTGCACCGTCACCCATACACACACTCTGTATAGTCCGTACCCACACGCGGCAATAATAATGAACAACATTTCACTCGTATCTCGAGTATGTTATGTTTCCATCCAAGCGATCAGTTGTAACGAAACTGCCGACAAGCTAGCATCCAAAGTGAATTTGGTCCGTTGTAAATGATACATCAGTACACAAAAGCAGTTTGTAAGAAATTGTGTGTTTTCGTGTTAAAATGGAGTGTTTTTAGCAAATCCTTGGTAATTATTTTTTAATGTTACAATTTAAATGGAAATTCGACCATTGTTTCACATTTGTCATGAGTGTAGAGTATGATGGTTTCTCTTTTCTCATTGGACGGCGAATAATAACAGAAAAAAAAGTATTGAGTGGGCAACCCCCGGTGAATAATAATAATAAAGGAGTGATTCAGAACGTGAACCCAGTGTTTTCTCAGTAACCAGCATACTTTGACTGCTTGTTTTGCAAAAGTGTTTCGAACGTGATTTTATTTCTATCTTTTTGCCAAACAATTATCTTCCGTTCGGTGACGAATTTTTTTTCTTTCTCTCTCGGTAAGCAACGACACATTTACTTCTCTCATGAAGTGTATGTTTCGTTTTTGTTGTCTTCCATTGCAGATGGTTTTATGTTGTTATTATTGTTCTGGCACTTTCGTTACTGTTTGCTGCAATGTTGACAAACAAAGGATTATTATTCCATTAAGATATTTCTTGGTGATTGACATGTTTCACTAGCGCATGATTACCTCTTAAATAGTGTACGATATTTAAATGACTCTTAAAAGTGTTTTAAGGCAGTTGGTTGACGCGCGCGAGATAGAGAGAGACCGGAAAAGGGTTTTATTTATTCGGATGGTTAACAAGCAATGACAACTATTATAAAATATACAAAGTGCCTAATGGAATCCATGGGTATAGAATTATGTTTTGTTACTCGAATGATTTTCGAATTTACTTCGTGTTCTAGCTCAATCACTGGTCTCCATTTAAACTCCAGCCTATTGCCACCAATTCATTTGAATGAATATTTTAAGCGACGCAAATTCTCACTAACAATGGTCGGCACCAAATTATCTCTTATTTGTCTTTTGTATGCAATACACTAATAATAGAGTAAGCGTAGCAAGTGTGATGGCATGCCATCAAACGAACCAGTAATTACTTCCAAAATCTTTTGTTTTTTCCACGAAATCGGAATGATGTCATATCCGCAGATTTTTTTTCACGTTTCATCTTCTAAATGTTGATTGTTGTTGCGCACACACACATTTTGCGTATTCAAACAAATGTTTTCACTAGAATTTTCCGTCGAATAACCGAAGTTCAGCCGAAGTCACGAATAAAAGTGTTATATTTGAATAAAATGTAACATTTAAGTGGAAAAATCGTCAAAAATTCACATTCATGTGGAAATAAAACAATAGCTGACAGAGAGAAATATGTGTGAAAAAACCAGTAGCTGCCATTGTATCATGCACAACATGATTAATTAAATAATTGAAAATGCATAAGAAAAGAGCAGCATTTATTTTTTTCCCTCTCACCATCAATAGAATCCATTTTTTTTTTCTATTTATACCAGTTTTCCAGTAATCTATCAAACGGAAACTAGAATAAAGCCAAACCACCTGTTTGCGATTGCGAAGAAAAGTTTAAATAAAAGAAAGAGAAGAAAAAACAAAGAACCATTCATTACGGGTGCGAAAAATGAAAAGAATGTCCAATAAAAAAAAGGTAAATAATCCACGATAATTAGCATAGCACTTACCTGCAATCGATGTCAAATACGAACCGGAAAACTGGCGGAAACGCACAAAGAAACAAATAAAAAGTAAAAACATTGAAATAAAACATTTAAGTGTGCGATGTGGTACCGTTAGAACCGATCTCCGAAGACTTTCATATATGTGACGTTAATTATCTGTGTTTGCCATCTATTTTTACGATATTCTCTTTTGTGTGTGCAGCTTTTTTTATTTGGTTCCATTTCTCTCGAAATGTGGGTGTCAAAATGTGCCTATCTGGTCATTTGGAACATCATCGCCAACCATCAAAATAAATACAACCTTTTTTGTCAATAAAATTTCAAGCCACAGATAGTACGGTGTGTGTGTTGGTGTTAACGCCATTGTTGTTGAGAAAATCTCAAAAAATCGTATCCCGCTATATATTGTATTATTGTATGACAATATACGGTTGCAATTCAATGTGGCGAATAAAGAGTTTGAAACTACACACAAAATAGTTACAGATCAAGCGATAGCATAAAACAAAGAGAATCGGTCTATTGTAAAACGGCGGATAAACTTTTGCCGTAAAACAATACATGTCACTTCTCAATATTTGCTCCATTTTGTCATTTTAAGTGTTGGTATGCATTGCATGCATGGTAAACTGAAACTGCGTAGCTGTTTGTTTTTCGATTGAAATTTTCTCGTCGCATTGTTGTTGGTAAAAATATTTCAACATTTTTCGGTTTTTTATGCAGCATTTGCGGGAGTGCGTACCACATGAATGATATGAATGCATATAGCGTTTATGAAATTTATTATAAACATAGGAAGCAACATTCCGATACGGTTCCATCAAGCCGCTTGTAATGCAAACGTGTACACTTTTATTAAATTCGTTCTACTTACATAACTTTGGATCGTAAAATATCGAATCGTCATCGGCGTCGCCAGAGAGTGTGACATTTTTCCGTTCCATTGTTTTTCTCTTGTGCGCTAAATTATGTTTTTGATGAGTTCAGCACGCCGACGTATTCACATACATATGTTCAAATATGGAACACACTACGTTTTGTATGGAACCATATCGACATTAAATTATATATTGTTATTTACAAATCGTTGCGTCTATTGTGCAATTTAATATTGAGTATAACAGTTGCTGAGTAAATAAAACCAGGTATACCATTCCATTAAAAAGACAACTCACACTCATCAAAAGAGTTGTTCGATCCATCGATGAAACAGTTATCAGCACAATCATTTCGACATATTTCGACCAGATATACATATGGTTCTTTCAAAAAATCTCATCTCAAATAAAAAAAAGCAATTTCAATAGTTGATGGGTATAGTTCAGCGATGAATGGGTATTCAATGATACCCATTAGAATTTAATCGCAAACAAAATGCGCTGAAATTTGTTTGTGTTTGGACAAAGTGCCAACAATAATAATCAAAGCAACAACGGTTGAAACAAAAAATTTAATGACCCCTATAGAATCATTAGTAGCACAACATGGGTATGATGATGTACAGTTGATGTTTTAAATATGGCCTACGTTCATATTATATTATAATTATGTCGCTTCGCCGAATGACATTTCATATTTCGATGCCTAGACGGAAGGCTCAATTTACAATACATTTTTGGTGTTCACAGAACCATACTGAAGTACGCGCGACAGATTGCTTTAAAGTAACAAGAAACACACTTAGTTAATGTACAAGAACCGTAAACCTCCGAGAAGAATACACAAAAACAACTGAAATTATTGCGAATGGAAGCATTTTGGAGACATGCTCAATGAAAAAGACACAGTGTATTTTTCTGTGTTTTGTCAGTGAAAAAAGTACAATTCTTTTCTTCAATTATTGTGCTCGAATCAGCGTGTATATTATGTAAAAGAAGACGGGATTCCATTGCCGAAACAATTGCGTCTGAAGTTGTGCTTTTTTCCATCTTTCGTCTCGGATGCACAATTTGTATAATAACATTTATTTAACAGAACATAAGGCAGACAATTTACCACTTAATGCAAAATGAACATTGATTGACAAAGAAATCATGTTCATTTGTACGCAGCCAAGGCATCGAATGCGATAAACAAATCATAGCGATCGTGTCTCGTTGCATGAACGAAACCAAAGTGGATCTTGGAACGACAACACACAGACATTCATCAGAATTGGTTGTGCTTCGATTAATCTGTTTCATTTATTCTGTTGTGTGCAAGTGCAATTTACTCTCTGTATGAAATTCAATGTTATCATTATCTCCATTGGAGATGCAATTCGATGATTTAATGCGGTATCTATTTTTGGAAGAGTGCTTCTTGAGTTAATACCATTTCAGCATAGTTGCATTCAGAGCACACAGCGTCTGGAAATTTCTAATCGACAGAATCGCTTAATTTGTTGTAGACCGTTTGCCGCATGCACTTCCACGAGCAAATTGGAATTACGAAAGTGATGTCATGAAGTGTAGAGCCGCAAAAAAAAAAGATATTGTGTGGTGAAAGCTGCATAGCTGTCATACCGGCTGTTGCTTCCTCAAATCGACGTAGAAACGAGAAACTTTCCAAATAAGCGATAATATAAATCAATTTGTCGAATCTGATTTCAAAACGAAGAAGAAGAAGAAGAAGAAGAAAAACTCAACAACGAATTAAGATTACGTTGTCACCAAATAGGAAGAGATAAAATTGCAACAATTATATTTTTTTGCAACTATCTCCTCCGATACAATCATCGAAGTGAAATGAGGGCCACTTTTCGCTTTTAATCGAAAATTGATCGAAATTAAATAATTTATGTTGAAGAGAGATATCAATGAATGCAAAGTGTGTGTGGATGAGGTGGAGCAGTAGCCAGCGATGAAATTGACGACATAACTTGTTTGGCTTCATCTTCATTTGCATGACAATCGGTTTCGGTTGCACAGCCACACAAACACAAGTCAAACCGCATCGGTATCAAGGCAAAACGGGCGAGTAGCATGAGCAGAGCAACGACCGTTATTTTTATATGCGTTGCATATCATACGAATACATCATTTTATAATTCACTAAACGGCACCGCAAAGTGTGCACGGTTGCATGTTACTTAAAACATTGTTTACTTTTTATTAATCACATGACGGTTGTGTTTTATTTTGTCATTTGAGTTTTGAATGAACCGGTTGCCCATTGTTACGTGCATGCATATCGAATTTTCTCTGTTTGTATTTTCTTTATTTTTCGATTTCAATTCTCACTTTATATGCTTCCATGTAAAGGCCTAACTGAACATTATATCGACCGATTGTTTTAACACATTTCATGAATGTTTTCAACAATACATTGCGCTTCCATTTACTATTTTTAAATCACAATGAACACGGACAGATGAAAGAAAGTGTCATAGCACCCAATGAATATATATTATATTACATGTTTGACATTGTTCATTTCACTTTTCAGTCTTTGGTCGCAAGCGTTGTCACGTTTTATTTATTATACGCCCGGTTTGAATAGCATTTTCTTTGGGTCACCTGTTAATCTGCGTATTGAGGACGGATATTTTGTGAACTGAACGCGAATCATCAAATTAGAACGAGCCATTGAGTGTAATGTTGCATAGTTTTTCATGTTTATGATGCATAAAAATCAAATTCAATTTGTATGAAACCATCGTTGATGCGATAAAATTCTGTTAACGAACTAAACCGTTCGTTGTCTCGGTCGTCAGCATGGTCGTCAGTCTTTTATGTTAATGTAGTTTTTATTTGATAATAGATAAAATGGCAATGTCAACGTACTGTTCATGTTAATGTGTATATTTTCAGAATGAAACTTTGTCGGTGCATCGAGAGTTGAGGTGGAAATAGCAACACGACATCGTATCAAGAATATAGACGAGGACAATCGATATGGTATTTCATTAAATTCCTATGATAGCAGCATTCCAATGGGAGTTTGCATTATGACAGCAACAGCCAACGTGAAACGTATAGTGCAACGGAAATAAAATCCATTCACAATGTATTTAAATTGCCATAAGATTTGTGCAACACTCCTCGCAACAAACTACAAGTGAAAAAACTCAATAAAAAACACTCAAATCGAAACAAAACCATTAAAAACTGTGAACAAAATAAAAATATCATCGAAACAAGTGAAATCCAACACCCGTTTGACTTAAAGGGTCAATATACATATTACAAGTGTAAAAAAAGAACGCGTGAACGAGAAAATGCAAAAGTTCGTTGTGAAAAAAAGTAAAAGTGCTCCGCTGGCACCGACATCATTAAGTCAACCTTTGCCAACGATAATGTCCAGTGCAGAAAAAACGATGCCATTAAATGCATCGACCGCGAAATTGAATTCAACTGAAACGTCTGCACCGAATGAATCCAATGTGACAGCGAAACAACCAACCAATCAGTCAGCTACACCATCACCCACGTCGTTGGCACACGTGAAAATGAGCGGTTACTTGAAAAAGAAACGAAATGTAAGAGCGAATTCATGATTCATATCGTACATCCAAATGTAAAACATACATATAATTAAAAGTGTTAACCAAATGGAAAAAATACGAACACATACACATCCCAAAACCGAAATCACAACGGTAGAACAGTTAAATAATTCCATATTCAAAAGTCACGAAACACCTTATGTTTTACGGGTAATTGTGACTTCGAATCGAAAGTTAAAATCGACGTTAAATAGCTTCAAAAATTCATTTTCTATCTAAATGGAAGCGATTTACTGGGCCACATGTAAAATCATATCGTCATTTACATACGTAATCGTAACACCGCACACAAATTTCGTATGTAATTAAAGTTAAATAATCGGGGCCGTGGACCAACTGAGCCGTATTCATATCGTTATATAATATTCGCAAATATGCTTATTTTTTTTTTTTGTTTAACTTGGTCCATTTGTAAAAATTCGATCAGATAAAATAGTCGAATTTTTCAACTTTTTCCGATGTAATGCAAACGTATTTAAAAAAAAAAGAAAATCAGAATACCATAATACCTTTCGCGAGTTTTTTTGGCCATTCCAAATAAAGACGAACAAATATTGTATTTATAGAAAAATGTTTTATCGTCTTGTTTTCTCTGTTTAAAAATCTCATTAAAGTCCCATAGTAAATGCCAGATTCGGTCATTATTGATTTTTTACGGTTGAATATGCAAAATGAAAAAAAAAATATCACTTTTGCAAATTTAATCCAATGAAATTGATGACAAGTCGGTTAATATGTTATTTCTGTTTTTGTAATATGCTGAGGACAAATTCAATTTGAAGGCATTAGCAATATTTCACATGCCAAATTTGGTATTGTAACGTGATACAAAACAATCAAATGATTTATTTGAATAAAATTACCATTAAGACTTCTAAATTTGATTTCTCTGTCGGCATTTAAATATAGAAAATGGGCGGATGGCGAAAATTGTGGTTTGTGCTGCAAAATCAGCTATTGCTTTCTTATTCTTCCAAAGACGATTATGAGAAAAAGTTGGCGCCATTTAAAGATGTGCTAAACTTAGTTCCGGGCACAGTCGTTCGGCCAGAACCGACAAAAGGTCCACGATTCACCATAGAAACATCGACGAATCTTATCTACACCTACGTAAGTACTATTGCGTCTATGTTGGGCTCAGTTAACCCAAAACAAATTAATAACTGGCAAGTATTTTTATAGCGATGTGATAACAACAAAGACATGAACTGCTGGATAACAGCTCTAGTCGAAAGTTTGGGACTTCAACCAAATGACTATAAACAGTAAGTTAATCTCAAATAACTATGTGTGCCAAGTGCAAAATTAATTTCGGCATTAAATTGGTTTTATTTCTATCAGAGCGTCGAGCAAATTACATTATTCGATGGAAAATTTATCCAAAACTCGCGCATCATCTTCGTCGGCTTCACCCGCATCGTCATTCATGTCTTCGCGCAGTTGTGATTCAATTTATCGGTCACAAAAAGCAAAAATCAATCCCAAACTACCAGTCGCACAGAATACAGCTCGAGTATTACAACGCACACAAGACACACAATCCAATAAAAAGAGCATCAACACAAAAAAGGAAACAGTGACTCAACAGTAAGTAAATTATACGGCATTTGCGAAGTAATTTAAGTGGTTCATGCTTTTTTAATTCTTCAATGCAAATACATTACAGCCAAGTATATAATATACTCGAATTTAATTCGATGCCTTTGAATAAACAAAAATGTCAACATATTGCCGATGAAGAGCATCATGTTCATTTCAAACAATTTAGTAGCAATTAACGAAATCAATTAATTTCACCATGTTTCCGCCTTAAGCGCACACAATTCCGACATAACAATAGATAATCGAAATGTTTCACCATCACATGCCATCACATGGTTAAATTAAATTTACATTTATCGGACAATGTAACTCTTTTGAGCACACCAAATTTCTATACTTCACTGCTCTTTTATTTTCTTTCTCTATTTTTTTTTTGAGTTTTTTTCCACTGCGTCATTCTTTAATCGATTCAAGGTTTTCAATGAAATTAGAATGAATGAGTGCGTCCATTGAAATGATGTGCTAAAATGGACTCGCTACGGTTTTATTGTGACCGATTTATTGCCAATTGTATGTATGCATGGTCACTATAATGTGCTGCATCATCGAAAATGACATGAAAATTCTTTTCACACTTTCCGCAAAATGTGCCATTTCATCGGTGACTTTGAGCACAAAGCACACAGATACACTACAATTTTATCGCATTAACTCATTAGTACTTGGCTTTCATCTCGACGAACAAAAATCATTCAAACAAAAAATACAGATAAATTGCATTGAAAAGATAAATGTTGAACCTATGACTAAATCACATAATGCGTTTTAATGTTTTTGTTGTTGTTTGTCTGGCGAGAGTCCGTTAGAAATCTCATAAATACAACAAAGCATACGCCAACGAAACATTGCTTAATAGAAACCATCATCATGCGGTTTTAGTATTGTTAACATTATGGTATTTTTTTGAAAATGATTACAATGATGTCAGTCTTCCAATCGTTCTATTTGATTATGTGGTTTTGACTTGGTTTACAACACGGCACACAGAAAAAATTATTGCCGCTCGTGCCTCAAATGGAATTAAGTAAATCCAAATGATGGGCTACAGACGCGTTGAAATTTTATGCGTTTTATAGCCGCTTTTCGTGAACAAAGGCAATCTCCAAACGTCATCCTACAAGATGAGCACAATAGCAAATGCGTTGACAACGGTATAAAACCGATCCCACAATTACCATACACGGACGCCGAAGAAAAGTTGAATACTTGATTTACACAGTTCAATTGACTTTCAACCATAACAAAGAAATCAACGGAGGAAAAAAAAGTGTTACGAACACCGAACAGATCGCATTCTCTCGATGTGATTGTAGAAACAGACAGACAAAGAGAAAGAAAGATGGACAAAGTGAATGTTGCTGTGTGTACGGGTCTTTTTTGAATGTAATGCTGTGCATATGATTCACTTAGAAACGATTGTTTTTGAATGGTTGAAACAACGTGCACTGTAATCTGGATAGTCAATCGCGCTTATAGTAAAATCGAAGTGCCGTCAAAAAACTTCGGATGTTTTTTTTAAAAAATGTTTGCTCAAATTCACGATGATCCTGTCGGCATACTATTATGTAATAGAGTGAAATGTGCACAGTTTACCCAAACAATAGTCATTTGATCTTTTTTTTACTCGCTTCGATCATCCCAACCAAATACAGACTATGTAAATAGATGTTATCTTGTCATCGTTCCTCTCTTCCTCGTCGATTGTTCTCCACTTCGATTTCCTTTCCAGATTTATGAAAAACTTCGTATTAAAACAAAATTCACACAAAAAAATCATGAAATGTGCACAACATTGTAGAGGAAACGCAAACGAGAGTTTCATTCAGTTTATGTGTGTTTGCTGATGATGCAAAGCGTGTGTGAGTCGTTAGAACAAAAATAGATAAAAAAAAAGGAACACATCATACATAGTCGCATGGACCTGGAGCTGCGCAGTATATATATATTGATGTGAATTTTCAACAAAATCAAACACTTCAAGAGAATCTGAAAAAAAAACCTAATGATTGCGTGAATTCAAAGCATTAGCACTGGCTACAGAGCGACTTAACATAAAAACTTTTCTCTATCGCTTCGGTCGTGTGTGGATTTCTACCATCAGGTTATAAATAAAAAAGAAACAAACAAACTCTCTCATAGCCCAATTGTGGTTCATCCATATACGACCAAACTCACTGTTAAACAAATTCACTTTTTTTCCGCTCTCGCCTCCAACCGAACGATGAAACAACATCGCAGCATCGAAGACCATTGTCTGTTGGTTGATGCGCCATACGGATAAAATGCGCAAAAGAGACGGAGAAAATTGTTATTAAGTCCCTATGAATTCATTATGTACGCACGAGTTTCTTTCTTTCGTTGTTTGTCTCGCTTTGGCGCATATCACTCATGTTTCACTGATTTCATGAATATTTTACACTCATTTGAGCCGTCGAGTGAACGAATATATCGACATAATCGGTGTGTTTGGGATTTTAAAAGTGTATTTGTGTTTTCATCACGTTGTCGTTTGTTCTTCATGCTTACTTTTTCATACAGATGTTCTAATCATTTTCTATATACAATAGCATAGTATATGTGTGTTGTTTTCGTTGTGTTATTTTTAGGGTTCAAAACTTCAGACTTCATCCGAACGAGTCACATGGAAATCAGTCGTTCGAAGTGCATCAAATAAATCGTATGTTCAACACGGGCGCTATCATTTCAAATAATAATAAAAACGTTGTCAATACTGCAAACGGAAATTTAGTCAATTCACCAAGAAAGTCAACACGGAATGAATATTCACGTCGACGACATCATCACCACCATCACCATCACCGAATAAGGGAAGTGCAAGAAATGTCAAAAGACAATCATATTTGTGCAATCAATTTAAAGACAGGCAATAGCTGTCTTGATAAAAATAGTAATCGTCATTCAATCACAATCATGGATGCAGAACCAAAGCAACGTTTCGAAAACGGAAATTTGTAAGTTTGTCGACTTTTGTTTCTTGAATCATTCATTCGTTCTTAGAACACGTTCGGTGGATATTTAAAAAAAGACAAAATGATGATTAAGTTTTTGCCAGAATTTAAAATCACAATCACATTCGATGCGTGAAACGAGAAAAAAGACACATGCACACCATCACACAGACCACATAATATTTTCCAATTATCGTAGAAGATGAGAGATGAAACATAAAATTCATACGTTTTTTTTTTCTTGTTAACATATTTTTTGTTCGTTGACGTAATTGATTTAGTGTTCACTGAATAAGTAGATCGTTGATTTGGTTGTGTTGTTGGTGACTGGTATAACAGTTTCAATTACACAATTTTCACGATGAAGAAAAAGAAATGGTTCAAAATTGTATGTGCATGCATTTAATTGCGTTAATTATTTTTGCCTTTCGGTTTCAGTACGTTGGCGGAGCAAATACATCGTATTTCGTTGGAAAATGATAAAAATTCAAATTTGCATGCGGCTTGCGTGCAAAAAACCACTGTAAATTCATCGATTGCCTCACCATCGTTATCTTGTTCATCTTCGATGTCTTCGGGCTCATCGGGTGTATCAAATGCGTCGACAGCATCAGCATCAAAATTTCAATTGCTTACTGCGCCCAAAAACCAAAACACACAACACAACACCGACTCAATTAACATCGAGCCCATTCGCAACGAGGGTGGCGAACCAATTTATGCCGTTGTTAATTTAAAAGATAAATACGAACATCGTGCCAAAAAGAAGACATTGGATGAACACATTTTTGACACCGATTTGATTCAACAACGAAGGGGAAGGGAACGTCCAAATAGCTTCCACGTGGTTTCCGGCGATTATGAAGAAGTAGGTTTTTATCTTTCGATATTATTTACATATACATTTAATGTAATTATTTATTGCTTTTAACCATTAGGTTCTACAATTATCAGCTGATTGCGTTGACGGCTGTGACGACATAGACGAAGAAAATATTTATGAACCGGTACGTTTGTGTATTACATTGTGTTTAATTGAATTGATTGATTTTTTTTTATTAAATTTCTTCTAAATTACAGATAAATATACCGGAACTATCTACAAAAGGTCCACTCTGGCGATATTTTTCCAAAATAAATTTAGATACCTTAGTTGAGATAGCTGGTTGGAAAAAAGAGCAACAACAGCACCAGCAACAACAACAACAATCAAATGGAAAAGATGAAACATCAACGTTCGCTGACTTACGCAAACGTTTCGGCCAACATCGAAAGTCAATTAAAAATCGAGTCAAAAAACTGTATAATCGTACAAATAGTTGTGAAGAGCATGGTCAAGCTCACACAAACGGAAATGGCATTGATATAAATCATCTAAATGAACACAATGCATCCGGATCGTCTTCGGGTGATTCGGGCAATCGAATTGGACCGAAAACTGATGGATTTTCCGGCTATTTTAATAAACGTGACCGACACCTATTTAGTAGCATGTTGAAAAAATCACGCACCTCCTTGACATTCGATGAAATTGCACGAAAGAAAATTATTAATTTGGCCGCTATTGGTGGTAAAAATGGGACCAAACATAAACCTACACATAATCATTTGGAGGTAACATTTGAAATTTGTTGAGAACATTTACACAAGATATTTTTACTAAATCTATCTTCATTTTTGCTTTACAGAAAAATGGGTGCCATAGCAAATTCTATGATTAAGCCGGAATCTAAGTTTAAGAAACATTGCAATATTTAGTTAAACTATTTGAAATTGAATATTTATTTGACACAAATTCATACTCTGTAGCCTTCCGAACCTAAGTTGGGGTGATAGATATAATAAAAAAATCTTGATGTTAAATAAAATAAAATAAACGTATTGCAGATCAAGTAACACCGACTTTGAAAATATTGAAACTCAAATATTTATTATTGATAATACTGTTAGACAGTTGAAATATTCGACTTTTTTCCGCTTACAAATTGCAAGTAAATAAAATACTTTTTAAAAAGTAGATTTTAACGAGAACAAAGAAGGTAAAAAAAATGTTTAAAAAAGTGATCAATGATCAGGTGTCGCAAAGTTGAAAAAGTTGTCGGTGAAACTACAGTGTGTCAAATCGTCGTCAACCATGAGTTTGTCTTTGACATCCCGCTCTGGTTCTGTCTTGGGTGTCATTTTGAGTACTTTTAACAGAATAACATCCTTGTCGTAGTCTGCTTGTTTGTAGTTTGGATCAGTTAAAAGTCGTTTCTGGTACTGCTCGATTGTATTGTTTATATCTAATTCCGTATTGTTCGGTTTGTCACGCACAATGCGCAAAACAGATCGTAGTGATACCTTATCGACTCGTTGAGGCTCGAACATATTGCAATTAAGTTCGGCAGCTCTGTCCATTTAAGAATTTATCACATTAGTGACATACTAACAATGCTAAAAATAATGGACTAACCGTAGATTTTTCATTTTGCTATTAGATTCCAGGGCATTTTTTGCGCCATTCTTCATCAATTCATCAACTAACGAGCTCTTTTTATTAGTGATCGGCTCGTTGATATTTTCCTTTTGTTGCGAATAGGTTTTCAACATTTTCCGTGGTGGTTGGTATTGAAATGCTGAAATAGGCGACTTTTCCGATAATGGTACTTTTCTTTTGAAAGAACCGCAAGTGGCCGCATTAGTGTCGAAACTGGATGTTGCAGCGTGACTCTCAGTTGACTGCGTTTGATTTATTTGATGACCTGGAAGAAGTTGTGGTGATGATGTTGCCACTTTGTCCTCCAAATTTTGCAAATTCAATCGTTTTGGGCTCTCGTGGTCAACTTTTAAGAATTCATCTTTGTATGCATTGAATTCCATGTTGGCTTCATCAAGTGACAGAAAACTACTGTTCCAATCATCGCAATCGTCATCAAAGTCCGAATAGATGATGTCTCTATGGCAAATACTACTTGTGGAATTCAAAATTTTTTGCACACTATTCAGCGTATCGCCGGTGTCACGTGTATTAGTAGTGATTTCGAGACCATGAGACTCTTTTTGGTGTTCTTCTTCGTCCGAATCCATTTTATCCCAAAACATCAAAACATCAAGCTCATCCTCTTTTTCATTTAAATCTTTTTTACATATGACTTTTGCAGTGACAAAACTATCCGAACCGCCACGTTCTTCTCGTATTTTATTTTGAATTGGCGTCTCGACAATTTGCTGTGAATGTCCGTTTGCCTGATGTCCTTTTGTGTTGTTAGGTTCGTCACCATTCAAGGGTGGCAAAGATTTGAGTCGTTCATGATCGATTTGATTTCGATTACTTTCACATGACTGTGAATAATCATATAGATAGAATGGTTTTTGTGTAGCTTCGATTGGCGTGGAGAATATGTCTGGAGATAGCCGGATCTGTTTGGGTTTTTCAGTCGAGCTTGCTGTTTTAGAAAAAAGAGTCGGTTGCTTCACGGTCCGGAAGTGTTGCGAGATTGTTGATTGTTGTGGGTTTGTGTTCTTTGACATCTTGGAGAATGGCAAGTTATTGTTGTGAGTCAATTTTGCTGCATTTTGTTTTTGATTTGACTTGCTGACGGCTACTAATATAGCAAAAAATTCTTCTAATATGTTTCCAATGCAACAAATGAAATGCTTATTACCTGAACCATTCGAATCGAATTTCGAAGGATTTGTATTTCCTTGCTTCAGCGACCGTTTCGATGAATCTTCCCAAATGTAATTCAAGAGTCTTTTCGTTTCAGCAGAACGATTATCTGACGATGTCGTTTGTTCAACGCAATCGTATGTGATCATTTGATCAGCGCCAGCTACAAATGAACCCAAACTATGATGATTTGCATTATTTTTTACGTTAAAAATAGCTCATACCCAGACTATGGTGTATCACAAAGACATATAAAAATCTGGCTCCCGGTGTAAAATGCAACAATTTTTCAAAAACCCCATTTTCAAGTTGGCTGCAAATTAAAAAAAAATCAATGTGAATTATTGAACTACATTAATTTTCGTGTATATATTGAATTACATGTCATCGTAGCAAATTAGTTGATTGTTGAAGTCTCCAACAAGCAAAGTTAACCCAGATGCAGTTGAATCGACAACATATTGAGTGTTGGTTTGTGTTATGCAAATATGAAACACATGTTCGGCTGATTTCATAACATTCACTTTATAACGGGGGAATTTTTTTGATGCTTCTTGAATGAGTTCTGTGCCGTATGGAATAACCTTTTCTAGGATCTATAAAATATGATAAATTTGCAAGTCATCAATTCAATAAAATATAAAATTCGAAATCGCTCTTACATCTTCAATTTCGCGTGGTTGAGTTCCCGTTAGCTCTTCAATTGTGTATATTTCATGTTCATTTAGTTGTTTTGCAGCAGTTTCCGAAATGCCAAGTTGACCAAAGATATTACGATCATTCCAAGTGCGCATTCTTAATGATTTTGCCAAGAGCGTTGAAGAAAGAATCGCTTTGAAACAGTCGTTTGTATACTGACTGCAATTAAAAAACTCAATTGTACTTTGTACAACTCGCTCTGCAGTTTGTAATATTTTCTGCGCGTCCACAATTAGAGATGTGGTATTAATTTGCGATTGACCCAAAACGGCCTGCAAGAGACTAAAAATCAGAGAAACAACGCGGTTAATTTGAGAAAAAAAATCATTCAAGTGGTAAGTTGAAAAAAAAAAATTACCAAGACACTTTATACGGTGGTTTTCTGTTGGGGATAACTTGATACCGATTAAACTGGGAAATTTTATTCAAATTGGACACCTCATTACTCCGAGTGTAATGTTCCGAAAACTCATTGCATCCAACAATTTTGTCTAAGATCTTTTCGATTGTCTCATTCCCTTTGAACTGAAATCAAAAAGTATATGTCAACAGTTATGATCAACCATTGAATAATTAAACCGACTTTTTGAAATGTGTCCATTGTTGAAATACTCAAAAAGTATTTGGCCATGACTGTTCCGAAGGGTCGAGACAATAATCCGCCATCCGATTTTTCCTCAATCAAATTCGATGTTCGCAATTTTTTGACAGCTTTGATGTACAATTCTGAAACGAACAAAACAATAACAAACCGAATATGAAACTCTGGATAAAAATGGGCACACATCAAAACGAATTATAAAATGCTAAGTGCGGCAAATAAAATTTGCAAACTACATGCAGCAGTCACTTGAACGAATTAGTTAACCTTTTTCTCATTAGTAACAGAAATTGTGTAGCTTGCTTTTTAGCGAAATCGTTTAAATTTTCGTTGCATTCATTAGCTGGTTTAATTCATTGATGTGAAGTCGAAAACGACATGAGCACCAAATACTATTCGATGCAACGATGATATTTAAACCATTACAACATATATATTTTCCAATAGGTTCGTTCTGGGTTTTGATGCTCGTTTTTATGCAGCAGCCGCAATTGATCGCCGCATGATGTTTTTGCTGTGCATATGAAACAATATTACCGATTATGCGCGAAAAGAATACTTTCAAAAGGCAATCGACTACTATGAACTCTTCACAGTGCTCACATCTTGCTATCAATACCGTTCAGCTATACGTATGTGAATCCAACACATACTAGAATCGTAAATGGCGACTTGAGTATGTTGTTGTTGTTTTCTAATAAATTTTTTCATCTCAGCGCTTGATTTCAGTGTATTTCAACCTTTTGTGCGGTCGAATCAACGACATATGTTCAAGCTCATAGTCTTAATAATAATATGTTTATACATTGGGCAAATCCCAATTTTATAAAATTCGTGAAATAGTCACGTTCCAAAACGTGTTCACCGTAGACTTTTTTCTGTTTGAATTAAAGATTATGCCGATATCATAAATAATGAGATTCTTTTACGCAAGACGAAAAAAAAAATTATGACTAAATGCAAAACATGTTGCAGCTCGGTTGCTGAACAAATATTTATGATAATTTTTGCAGGACGATAATTTGTTTATCTCACTCAAATGACGTCGAACAATTATGTAAACAAATGAATTTATCCACCTGAAGATTGGAATCAATGGTGTACACATGATGTATTGGTTGTCATTATGAAAACGTAGTTTTTTCGTCAAAATATGCGTATCTTTTCTAGATTTCAGGAAACCTGTTTGAGATATTTTGTGAGCGTAAGAATTAACCATTCTTTTTTTCAAATTTATGAGAAGACACCGCTGTCTCAATGTAACAAAAAATTAATAAATTTCACGAAGATATATTTCGAAAATCGAGTTAGTAATTAAATTCAAATACGATGATAATCCAAAATATGAAGAATTATACCAGAACATGTTGTCTTAATGCGGAGGACGTCGCAATCAATGCAGAGAGTGACGAAAAAAAACGAAAAAAACTTAGAATTCATTTACAGTTACTAATGTATTCTCTCATTTGCCAATATCATTGCATTTAAATCATTTTGCTTAGTATGTGAACAAAAACCAATTCAAATTGTGAATGCACAACAATTTTATGAAATTGAATTATTTTTGCGTTAAATTGATGTTTCCTTGCCTTAAATTGCATTAAATTCTATATACGCTTGCGTATGTTTTCCTTCCATTTGATTGTTGTTGCACGCTTCCCATGTTCACGGCAATGGAAACGTTCGCAAACAAGATGTTCAAGGTCGGTTCGTACACATAATATAGCTACTACAATGTATTTGGCAGATGCGGCAACAGTTACTGCATGCAAACGACCACGTGAATGAATTAATTTTCGAAAAATTGCTTGGCATACGATCACAATTCGATTTATTTGATATGGCAAACTATTTTCCATTAAAATTTTTATAAATTTTTTTTTCATTAAAATTCTCATTAAATCTTTCGTTCAACAATGATGAAAAAGTATTGAATTAAAATGTCAAATTTGATCGTCGTTCCACTTCAAATTTTTTGTATAGAATAAACCGATTTCAAAGCTACAAGTTATTTTATTTTAAATGTAGTACAAACCTTTTAGCTCAGCCACATTTATCTCCTTTGCTTTGGTGCGTGCATAGAGAAACGTCATTCGGAGCCATTCGATTATACTCTTTTCATTCGTAATGGTTTTCAATGCGATTTCAGCATTTAAGAATTCCGCCAACTTCGTATCCACATGCATATGCGATTCTATCTGAACCGTACCCACCGACAAATTCTCGTAATATTTCTGTTGAAACAGGAAAAAAATAAATAAAATCAATTGCAACGTATTAGGAAGGTGACGTGTTTTAGTCGAAGCTGTATAATAAAAAAAATATGCAAAAAAGGGTGGCCGCAATAAAAAGTGCATTTGACGAAACTTAAAAAATCTATGAATAAACAAACAATTCGAAAATGTCATTTGAATGAGAAACAAAACGTCATCGAAGCGGATAAAGCCAGTGTTAAATGAACGAGTTGACATCGTGATTCTTATGGAGCGCGACGTGTAACATTTTATGCAAATCCAGGTATTGCTACCATCAAGGTTCAATTAATATAATTATTAATCGAAAATGAAACACATCTAATTGGCGGCATCGAAGTCATCTCGGAGTTTGGGTTTGGCACTATAACATGACAATAAATTGTTTTCTATTCAAGAACAACACACTCGTTTTTTTTGACCAGTTATTTATTCATTTTAAATTCAAATAACTGAAAATGTCGATTGTAGCGAATTTACGATACATTAATCAACCAAGTGTTTGCAATAAATAATCGTGTGCGCATCAAACATTCCTTGATCGAAGCACATATGCAAAATATGTTTATGATTAAAATTTATTAAGCAATTTGAACAGGGAGAAGGTGACTTCGAAGCTCTTACATTCTGTCAAGTCATTAACGAAAAAAACATGTTTTTTCACAATTGTTTGCAAATGAGATGGCACTAGTGCAAAAAGTGTTGATAATTATTTTCTTTAGTCACGGTTGCACATTATTAGGTAGCAGTAGTTCGACTTTGTAATGTATGTGTTGAACATTTGTAGGAAATTTATTTATTTGTTTACAAATTGATTTAATTTCAAATTGTAATTGATTTCCTAAATTGGGCCTAATAGTCACTTGTAATTGTTCACCTGACGCCATCTGAACTGCTTGGTCCAAACTTGGGCTTCATGATTTCATCGTTTGTTCACCTCCAATCATCAAATTGCAATTGAACTGTCTGTAGGGAAAAAAAGAGACCTTCCTTGCATTTAAACACAAATGCGCGACTCAAAGAGGCATTTAAATCATTTAATAAAATGTAACGATTGTTCTCGGCGCACGGGTCACATAAACGATAGATTTCAATAGACCAAAAACTTGCATTTTGCATGGAACGTCGAATCAAATTGGACGATCGAAAGAGCATGCAAAGTGCATTCTAGAGCATTTGAATGGTGGTTAAAGTCATTATTATATATTTATGCATTTATTCGCATGGTATATTATAGAGCAAGGTATTCACTTGACATTTTCATCAATCACGATTTTCCACATGATCGTACGTTTTCTTTTTCGTCTGTTTTTCCAGTCTCATTTGCTATTTTTTTTTCGTTTCTTGCTCGCTAAATTGGCATATGAATCAGTCACTTCAGAATTGTATTATGGCATTGCAACAAAATCAAACAGCAAATAAGACGCTCTCCGAAGAGATACCAAAGACTCGTTCAAAGAATTCGCTTGAAGAGCAGAATGTTTTAATGTCGTATATGGTTTATATCATTGGTTGAGTAACAAATTAATACATTACTCATCATCTTGTTGAAAGTGATGAAAATACATTACAAGATCGCTTCGCTTCAAAATAGCAATAATAATTCAAAATGTTGTTGATAACCCCGGGGATATTTATTTACTCTATTTGAAACTTCAGGTCAAATATTGCGCAGCGAAAAATGTTTTATTTAATAAATATTGACATTCAAAAAAGTCAGGAGTTATCAATTTTCTTTATGGGCTGAATTTAATATCTCATAACAATTGATAATCCGAACATTTCACAATAAAGATGTGTTTATTCTTTTTTTTTTGTTAAATTATGACTCTTGAAAAATGCATTTCAGTTTTGAATTTGGCACCAAATTTGGCAATTGAACAAGATCTTCGTGTTTTACCAATGAAGTTCAAACCGCCTCGCCTCGGCACGATTGTGAAGGTTAAATGTTCAATATTGGTTATTTGTTCATGTATATTTTTTTCGCTCTTCACTTTCCGTTCATATATCAAAATTGGCTGAATAATACTAGAAAACAGAATTTCGCACCAGTTTTTGTTTTGGATGATGAAAAATGTCGCTTGTTCACAAAATATACTTTGTATCAAAATTTTGATTATTTTCAAATTATGTTGCCTGTTTTTATGCCGTCGAATATAAGACACGGGAATCATAAATACCAACGCGAATTACATTTCGTCTATATGAAATTTAGAGACATGCCATGTGCATTGTTGGCAAATACCAATATATAATATTAAATGTATTGATAGTCCCTTCCATTGAAACAAACAATTTGATGCTGTGTATGCCGGTCTCATGTAAAAGCCATTTATCCCCATTTTTAATGCACTTAAATGCCTTTTGATGCACACAAGCTTAGTTCGAGCCGATCTCAAATGCATGACGCATACACACAGTGACACCTTTTTATTACGCGAATTACCTTTGACCCGAGTTATTTCAAACGTTTAGTAACAGACAGGAGCCTCTCTCCGCTATAAAAGCCACTTTGCATGCGCAGCGACACTTTAGTCAATGAACCAGGGTGATAGAATTAACATAACGCATTCGAATTTGACACTTTGTGCAGCATTTACTGTTTGGCAAATATCACATAATAATTTGCATTGGAATAGTGAAAAATAAATAGCATGAAAAATTGTCGGCAACATCAATAGTGTTTTATCATTGATAGTAATCGTTTAAAAAACAAAATAAAAAAAACAATTGACCGTAATTTGATTTAATCGTCGTCATTACGCTAATAAATCTCGTACAGGTGACCGTGTGTTCGATATAAGTGTCAGTGATTGAATCGCAATAGAAAAGTAAACATGTGGAAAATTGGAGTGTTTTTTGGTATTTTGGTCGTCGTGGTTTATGCAGCACCTCAAGCACCAGCTGCAGAAAAATATGAGCCGGTAATGAACTTCGGTATATTCGAAGTTTCATCTTAATTTTGTGAACAAAATGAAATCAAATTTGTGACATGGAATTTTAATTTTCAATTCTAGTTCGAATATCAGTACGAAGTGAAAGATCCCGAAAAAATGCTATTTTTTGATAAAAACGAAATTGGCGATGCGAGCGGAAAGGTAAAATCTAAATACGGATTTTAATAGATTCAATTCATATAATTGTTTTGTTTAATGTGAATATGGTGAATATTTTATTTTATTATCAGGTCACTGGGAAATATTCAGTATGGCTTCCCGATGGCCGTCTAATGACAGTAGATTATGAAGTTACAAAAGAAACTGGATTCGTGCCTAAAGTGTCATTCCAGGAGAATGCCAATCCACTTCAAGGATAATTAAACATTCGCCATTTTCTTTAAAATGTTTTGAACCGCGATTATTTTTATCCTCAATAAAAATGACCGTAATGTACACTGTACATAGTCAAACAATAAAAAAAACTTTTAAAAAATGTTACTCACGACTTTGTCTTTTTTGGTTAGAATGTATACCAAGCCAGATTTATTATATTCTTGACGGCCAGCTCGACCCAGCATTTGAAGAACCTATTGCATGAATTAAATATATATTTAAGTAAACAGTATTACCGGCTGAACAAATTTGTACGAACCATCGATTCGGGCATTTCTTGATTACGGCCATCAATGTACATCTAAGCGAAAGAACAACATAATATAGCTTCTCATCTTTTCAATATCCAATAGTTTCATTAAGTTAAGCAACGAAATCTGTGCTGTCTAACTAAAATACCTCAGTTGACTTGATAATGACCGCGTGAGCAGGTAGATTCACACCACAAGCCAATGTTTGTGAGCACACCAAAATCTTTATCAAACCCTTTTTGTATGCGTCTTCAATCTCTTCTCGATCATCAAAGGTAAGTCCACCATGATGGTACGCAAACCCGCGATGAACACATGTACGTAATTTGTCATCTTTAATTCTGTTTCAAAATAAAAATCATTACTTTTATCATTCAATGGATTTTAATTTTTTGGTCAATCGTTTTTTTTACCGTTGATGGAGCGCTTTCAGCTCATCTTTCACATAAATTGTCTTGGAACCATGGTGTTGAATTTCATCAACTGACAGTTCAATACTGTTCATTAGGTCTGTCAATGTTAGTTCAACATCATATCGCGTTGAGCAAAAAACCTATTGCATGAATTAAATATATATTTAAGTAAACAGTATTACCGGCTGAACAAATTTGTACAAACCAAAATCTGTTTTCCAGTTTTTTCCAGGACCTCTTGCAAAATGCCAACTAATTGGGGATTTAGTTGTTTTTGGAACTGAAATGAATTTCCATATGGCACGTAGCCGCATACTTTTCGGACTATCCTTTAAAAAAAAATCAAGAATAATTAGAAAAAGTCATAAGTAGTTAGTTAGTATAAAAACTTACTCCACCGATGGTTTGGTGTCATCAAGTCTGAAATATTCGATCACAAATACAATTCACATCATGAAAATATTATTAACAACATTTCTATAAAATCAATTCTCTACTTACTTGAATGTACGAACTGTCTCAAATGACTGTGCGCCAATCCATTGTGCAAAATCCTGAATGTTTGGCAGTGAAGCTGATACTGCGACGAAACGTATTGTTTTTCCATTGGGAAATGTTTTGAATCTTGAAACAATCGCTTCCAGTGTTTGACCACGGTTTTTATCTCCAACCAAATGCACCTCATCAATCAATACTAAACGCACAGCGTTTGTTATTTCACAATGTTCTTTCCATTTGCGTGTGAGTGAGTCCCATTTTTCTGGAGTGGTCACGATTACGTGAAATGGTGAAATCACATTCAAATCGTCCATATCTGTTGTGTCGCCGGTGACCAAAACCACTTTTAGGTTAAGTGTCTTAAATTTTTTGGTCCACTTGAGAAAAATTTCATTGCATAAAGCCTTCGTTGGTGCAACTATGAAAACCAAACGCATTTCAATTAGAAACAACAAATTCGAAGAGAATAAATGCAAAACCTGTACTTACTGTAAATAATTTTTAATTTGTTGACTTCAACCAATCCCAGTCTCATCAACATTTCCACAATCGCCAATTCGAAGATTACAGTTTTGCCACTTCCAGTTGGAGAACTGACCACAATGTGATGCTCTGTGTTTTTTATTACATTAAAATTGCGATGAAACTAATGATTCAATATATCGAGTTGAGGCGAAAAAATAGCTCTTAGAAAAAAAACTATAAAAAAATGTTGCAGTACTATTCAGAGAAAAATAGGAGCTATTTTTTGCCGCAACAATTCATATAAAAAACTTACTTTTCTTGAATACATCGTCGAAAACTTTGCTTTGGACAATGTTAAATTCCTCAATTGGGGCGAAAACCGAACGAAATTTCTGTGGAATATCACTTAAACTGCGCAATGACGTCATTTTTACGCGTTAAACAATATTTTCGGTTACACTTTTCACATTCTATTACAATGACACTTTATACACAAATGTAGTGGCATTCGTCAGGCTCTTTTCAATAAGTCGCAGTTATGATTCTGTCGGATTCTGTCAATGACACAAGCAACAGCGTCAATGTATTGGTATTTGCATTCTTTTGTTTCACGTATTCAAATGAGGATCTTTGTTCTTTGACAACTCTCGCTTTCACTCATGCCTTACAATGGTGCCTTACGTTTGACATTTGGGGAAATTTCCTAAATTCTCGTCATGTAATGAGCTAACATTGGTCATAACATTGTAAAATTCAGAATTCGGAATATTTCCCCAAATAATGATCTTTATGACAAATGTACGGCATCGTAAAGTTTAAACGGATAATGGCAAAGAATGAAGGAATGAAAGTGATAACATTTTTTCTTCCTTACCTTTGAACAAATTAACCGCTTTCAATGTTTTACATCTCTTCTTCTCTGAAATAGCTAACAATAAAAAGACAACAAAAGTAACGTATGTGTGTGTATTTATCGGTCAAAAATTTGGCGCAAACCAAAATAATTGACGTGCTTTATTTATCACCAAAATGAATGTCAGAATGAACCTAATCTCTATGAAAACTGAAAATTAAATCTGAAATGAAGAAAATGAGCTGGAAAATTGTAGATGGAAAATAAAGCCAAGATTGAGTTTCCATTTTATCATTTAGTTCTTAATATTAGCGATTATTTTTATTTCTTATCTTATCATCCACATTGTATTTACTTCATTGTTTGTGTTTTCATTGCCATTTGACACTATTATTGATTTAAATTAAATTCATTTTTTTCTCATTTTTTTGTGTGTGTGTGTTTTAATTTTCATTCTCTTAGTGCGTCAAAATTAGAAGTAATGCCAACACTGTAGATTTGGGCGAGGTGATATTTCTTATAAAACTTTTTTCTTCTTTTTGTTTTTATAATGATTTGGGAGAGTTTTATTTTGTTTTGCATGGCAGCCGTTAGTAGTCGCGCGGATTGTTCGTTTGATCGAAATTATGATATTGTTTGGTGGTTGTGACATTTATTCAGTGGCTGCCATAGCTCGAGCTTGGGCACGAACTCTTTTTTCGTATTCTAGTCGATTTTGACAGTAGATAGTGTATGCTTCGGCCTGTGCTGGATCCTTAATGTTAGGTTCGTTCAATAGGTCCTGAATGCCCAGCAAAATCTGTTTGATGGTGATGGCTGGACGCCAATCTTTCTCCTCGTCAAGCAGTGACAAGCATACTGTGCCGGATGGATAGACGTTTGGGTGGAACAGAGCCGGTTCAAATTTGCACTTTGGTGGACTGGTCGGGTAATCGTCTTTGAAAATCATTCGCAATTTATACAAACCATTTTCCCATGGAGTCTATCGAACGAATATGAAAATAGAAAAAAAAGAGAGAAAACACACAAATTCTGATTAGTCCAATTGGAAAAAGCAAAAAAGGCGCATTTAATTTTACAAAAGGCGCCAATTTAACGGAATCAACAAAAAAATGTGTACAAAACGACAAAACAAAGCAACCATGAAAACCTATTTATTCGAAAGCACTATAACGAACGTTCGTTACGCCTTATACGACATGTGAACAGAGATGGAAATCGTTCGTTTGCCTTTGATTCGTATAGGAGAGAGTGAGATCGAAAGCTATAGTACACACACATACATGCGATCATCTATGTATTTTTGTATATGTACACTGCACGTTTAACAGCTAGATTGAATTGCACCATGTTGCGTATTTGCCATGTTGCCATCCGAATCTATTGTTTCTTGGTGGCATCATATTGCAATTTTTTTGTAACAATTTTTTTACGGGAAAATGAAACTTTTTATAATTACCCCCTTTTTGCCGGGAATAGCGCAATCCCAGACCATCAAATTCAATGTGCCATCCGGATTCTTTGTCGGGCGAGCTACAAAACCCTGTAAATTGAATCATTATATTTAGAAAATGCACACTTCAATTTGAATGAAAAAAAAAAACTTACAAATGGATGATCTTTTCTCCATGCCTTTCTCTCTTCACCAAGTCGAGCAACAGCAATTCCAGACATATTTCCCTTTGTTTGTGTGTATGTCAAAATGTATTATTCACAAAAAAAAACAAGTTTTGTTTAAAAAGACACAACTAATTCTTAATTTCTACTCTAAATGTATCTTCTTTAATGATCTTAAACCGCTTGAATTCGAAGCAAAAAAATCCGTATTGGATTTTGTCAAACTTCGGAATAATCGTCTTTGGATGCTACTTGTGCACTTATGAGCCACAGTGTTATACGTCAGAAAAAGCAAAAAATGGCGAAACGGCGCGACTAACCATATAAGTTTGGTACTGCCCGATGCACATCTCACAAATCATTTTCGAACTTTCGAAATTTCCCCGTCGACAGTACAGCCCAATTCAAATTCTTCGCAATGCTTTTTGGTTTTTTTATAGTATTTTAAATGAATAAACAAAAAAATATCGTGTAATATCAATTTGGGTGAAGAGTAACGAAAAATAAAAGAATTTTCAATTTTTAAACTGATTATGATGTGATGGTTTTATGATATAATGGATGGGCACTGGTGTAAACAAAAAGTGAATTTTTATAACAAAAAAAAATGTTCAATATCAATGTTGTGTAATTGTCACAAAAAATGTATCAAAAAACTCAGTTTTGCTGTTATTCTATTATCTCTTTGTATTGAAAATATAAAATTCAGGACCTTTTTTATAATTTTCTTCATACTTATCAATATTATGATTTACTCATTGTTAATATTCTCAAATATTCATTGTAAAATACAATTAAAACGCCATAATTATTCAAACTTGTACGGTTTTATTAAATTGTTAAAATCTATTCAGAATTTTGTTTATTCAATAAATTTACAAAAGGAAGATAACGTGAATTGTTCACAATTAGTTCATCCGTCATAGTGTTGTGGAACGGCACCCGCTTCATCGCCTTTGCCGCACTGCGACAAATGTTTTACAATATCAACCCAATTCCAGCCTCTCGGTCGATCACCTCCGACAGCTGCTTGATCCCATTGACGACGTTTTTGTGCTTTGGTTAACTTTTCTTTTTTGGGTGCTTGTCCGCTTATTGATAAATTGCCAATGTCTGCATCTGATTCGTCAGACTCATCAGATTCTTCACTCTCTGAGCTCTCATCGTCGCTAACGTGCTGAGGTTGACCCTCCATTAGCTCTTCAATGCGATCCTTAAGGCACTCGAACAGTGTGTATGTCATTCCACATCCCAGCCATTGTTCCGCCTCTTCGTGTAATGCTTTTAACACTTTTTCTTTCACCGCGTCCACTCTAAACGAAATCAACAACAAAGAACCTTCAATCAATGGTCAAGTTACATAAAATCAATGGATGATTGGTGTGCTTACAAATGCTGGTTGTAAAATACATTTAAATTTATTGTTGGCGCTTCGTTTGGATACTCCGCACTCCATGTGACTTCAACGAGAAATGTATGCTCATCACCTTCTGCTCCATACTGAAATCATTTTTTTTAAACACGGTACAATCTACATAAATTATGATTAAAGGTTAAACATGTAAAGTTGGCTACTCACTTTGTACTGAAATGTCGTTGGATTAACTTGTTTGAATGCTTCGTCGCCTTCATAGATGGACACCAACGCTTCACGTTCATCATCTTGCATTTGTTTCACGTCTTCCGACATATCATAGTCTTTTTTATTTGAAACCAAAAGAAGATTCAAAATAATATGAAAGTAATGCCACAAGAAAGTGTACAAAAAACATAAATGTCTTGTAAATATTACAAATGTCAAATTGTCTTGCATTCTGTTCGAATTATTTTCGATATTCGAAATGCCGAATCGTTTGGTTAACAGCTGACAACACTGCTGTCATTTCGCCACTTTGCCGTGGTTGTAATAAAGCACGCGCAAAAAAATTGAAACAAAATTTGAATTTGAATTGAAATAATTTTCTTCTAAGAAATTTTTAAATGAAAATATGCTTCAAATTTTACTTCAAATTTGATTTGGTATTAAAAAAAACTACCTTTTATTTACAAATTAAAATACGACGGAAAATGTGCATTATTTTTTATTTTTCATTTGAACGAATTGGTATGAACTGATACGCACAGTTAATTATTTTATATTTCAATATATTGAAATTTTGGGATCATTAATTTAAGGATTCTCATTTTAAAAACGTTTTTTCAAAGAAGAAAATTCTGAATAATTATAGAAATAGTCAAACCATGGATTGTTGCACAGTCGTTGGTAGTTAGACAAAGTATTCAATTCGCCATCACCTAAAAATGCGTTAAGTAGAAGCGAATAGATGAATACATAAAACTGATCTGTCGTAGTGGGCATTAAATTGATGTAATTGCAGTGAATTGTAATGATCTAGATCTAATCAAAACTAGTTATACATTCTATTTTGTGTAAAAGGACTGGAATTTTTTTGATATTTTTTGTAGAATCGAAAAAAGACACATTGTTTATTTGAAAAGTCCGAGTTGAAGGAAGAGAATAAAGATAAAATAATGACAATGGGAGACGAAGAGACTTCTGAGCATGTTGATGCAGTGCATATACGATTTCGCGATAAAGGTCCACAGAAACATTTCTTTTGTTTCGCTTGTTATGAAGATTTTGCAGCTACCTCAACATTGGAAGTGTTTCAGCATTATGGTGAAAAAGAGCATTCCACATACCATTCCGATTGTTTATATTGCCAAGGAAAAGTATATCAGTATCGTGACGGTGATCAAAAACTGCAGTATTTTCACAACTGTTGGCGATGGAAGCGAAAAATTGAAAAATGAGCCAACAATTTAAGACAACAATTCATTCACAGTCACACATGAAATGCTGTCCATTCTCAAAGCAATATCATACTAAAAAGACTGACATAAACCAATTCCATTATAACTATTTTCGAATTTAAGAAGAACTTTTCGAAATATTTATATATGTACCTTTAATACCTTTTTTTCATCCAATAAATATTGAACAAATCATAAAAACAATATGTTTGTTATTTTTCCGCTTGTGCTTGCATTGCATATTACTTTTTTTTGGTTAAAAAAAAGTGGTTGCTATGTCTGCATTGAAAATGTAAACATATAAATATTGCCTTTGTAGGTCAGTCACAGTGTTGCCTGAAGGAAACTATGGTATGCATCTTACATTAAGTCTCGTTCACTTGACAGCGGCAACGGCGAAGTAAATGCATGGATTTTTTTGGCGCGAACGGCGAATTCATCTTGTGTTTGACAGTTTCTCTGTACCATCATCTGCGTTCTTATATTTTCTTTTGTGTTACTGTTGCAAATAGACGCGTCAATAACAAACATTCGAAATCGTACGAAACATTTCGGGATATTCGCTGAATTTTCAACAATAAATTGCTTATGAGCATAATTTATAACGATTTTGTTTTTAATTGATTAATTAATTGAAATAAAATTGCAAAAATGTCAACTATTCCACGAAAAGTGTTCATCCAAGTCGATACAACGGAAGAACAGGTAATTGTGTTATGCATCACATTTTTCTAGGTTATATTGTGAAATCGGACAAATTATATTGAGTTTTTTATTTTTTGAATATAGGAAAACACCAAAAATGCTCGAAAAACATTGAAAATTCTTCAGAAAGGAGCAACTGATAAGGAAAACTTGATTGGTCGTCCAGTTACAGAAAAAAATCTGTTCAAAAAATCAAAATCGTAAGTTTACAATTAAATAATTTTGAATTCTACTTCATTTGAACGCCATTGCTATAGGATCATTGTTGAATAAATTATTAATTTTGTGCGTGTGTGATTTTCAATAGTGAAACGGCTGTTATTAGTTCAACACCAAGCTCAGAGCCAAGACGTCGTAAATCAAGCCAAGATCCGACCGAAAAAACGCACGACAAAATAACGGAAGAAGACTTGACGTCAGAAGGTGAGCCAAGCGAAGGTTATTGGAAAACATTGGCCGAGAAGCGGCGCATTGCATTGGACGTCTCATTGAAAGAAAATGAGGAATTACACGATAAAGTGGCCAGTTTGGAAGAGGAGCTCAACATATCGCGCAGCATGTTAGAAGAATCCAGAAATCTGGTCGAACTATTAACGGAAATCATCCAAGAACAAGAAGGTGATGCGAATGACAGCGGTTTGCCAAACAATCTGGGCATTAATGCAAATATATCACGTCCCCTAATCGGCAGTGATTCAACAAGTGATGACACAGCCGACGATACGTGCGATGAAGGTGCCATTACTGATGATGCCATCTCACTCGAAGACAATGATCCGAAATCAGAATGATTTATTTCACACGAATCTTTTCTTTCACTGTGTGTTACTATATGTTTAGTTGTAGTCAATTTTTCATACCTACCATTTCGCTTGCGCCAAATCAGAAAATTATGCAAATTGAGATGAATTTAAAGAATTTTGAACTGAACTTACCATTTATTTCTTTTCTCTTTGAAATTTTTTATTTTTGAAGTTTTTTTGCATGAAATATTTAACGTTGCGTGAAATTTACCTTAAGGCATATTTTTCTAAAAGACTGTTCTTGCAGAGCATACTTTACATAATTCATCACGTAGAAAATGCTTGAAAATTGATTACAGAATTTCCAATTGTTTTTTTTTTACTGTTAGGTTGAAGAAGATTTTATAAAGACGTTGAACAAAATCATTTTCAGAATTGTTTTGGGGCAGTTTTAAATAAAGTATTAGTCGCTACTTGAGAAATATGAAATGTCGTTGTTTAATGTCGGTTAAAAATCCAGTTGTTCCAAAGAGCTGAAATAAAATCCGTTATTTATTAATAAAAACAACGAAATGAAACTCTGTGTTTTTTTCCTCTTATGACTGATTTAATCGATACACTTAAATTTAATACAAATATTTTGTTACTCAGATTTAGAAAAAAACATGCATTGTTTGTCATATAATTAGTCGAATAATTAATATGTTCCAATAAAAAAAAAGTAAGGGGGAATAATAATCGAAATAATTACAGATGAGTCATTTTACATGGGCTATTGAATTTATCGGTGATTTTGTTTTTGTGTGTATGTGTACTTTACAGTAAAATATTAGAATTATTTGTCTGTGTTTTGCATAATAATTAATGCGTTAATATAATAAAATAAACGTTTTGATTACGATATGATTGTTTTTTATTAAATTATTAATTATACAGTTAACGCTGGTTTGATGATTTTCGTTCTATTTTTATGTTGTTTATTCTGTTTTTTTTTCTTAATCAAAAGTCGTTAGAACTCTTGTTTTTAACTACGGAAAATCAATTTTTGTGGGGAATATTGTAGTTGCAAGCGTATTGAAGTCTTTGTTATTGATTGTCGTTTCTATTTGTCATGCAATGTATTTGCTACTTTCGATGGACTTTCATTATATAATCTGGAATATTTTACAATTGACTCATTTCCATAAAATCCGCTCACAATCCAATTAGAATCGGTTATTATTCTGATTTTTCCTTTAGATGTTCGTAACACCAAATATTACGAAAATTATATTTGAAGTTAATTTCGTTAGTCCATTTCGTGATTGTTTATCAAATAATTAAATACGTTTAATTCAGCTGCACAAGGTCATTTACCATGCAATAAGAACCAAATTTTGTTTTATATTAAAATAGTTAGTGTATGGAAATTCATTTAAATTAAAAAATTGTGTGAACAAGGAAGAAGATCAAGAAGAAGAAGAAGAGATGACGAATAAGAAGGGAGTGGGGAAGTTAGAAACGACATTTGAACGTTTATTTGGAATTGCACCAAATGAACTCAAAGACAATTTCCAATGTTAGAGGTGTGTTTGTGAAAATTTTGTAAGTTTTAAATTAATGTTTTTATTAGAAAAACGAATTAAAAATTGCATTTCATTTTGTCACATGAATTTCTTCCTTTTTGTGTTGTTTCCAAATCACTTTCTACGCACTTCAATGACCACTGGGCTAGCCGAATTTTTTCTTATTTCACGATCGGGCACATAACGTAAATTATTGGATGCATAATCACCATTGCGATATCGACTAGTTGTCACAGATTTTCGTTCTGATGTTTCGATTGTTTCCGGTCCGCGTCCATTTTTCGACGGATGTGTTTTTTTTGTAAAATTATGTACAGTGTTTGTAATGCTCGGACGATATGGATCATCTGATCGTGATGTTGTTTTATATGTTTCTGAATAGTCTTCCGTACTTGAGCTGTTGCGTCGTATTATGGCAGCTGTATCTTTATTGATGGTAAGTGGTGAGCGTGAGCCCAACGATGATTCGCGTTCACGTTGCAAATTCCGTTCCAAACCATATTTATAATGTCCATTGTGATGTGGCGATGAGTCCATTTGGGTGCGATAATTATCGGATGTTGTTCGCAATAATGAATGGGCACGACGATCAACTGGAATATTCTTTGAATAATGATTGGGCGAATAGTTGCGATGATATCCATTTCGACGTACATCATAAGTACTCGAACTAATGGGATTGCTGCTTCCGAAACCATTTTCATCGATTTTACTCAAATCACGTTGACTTCGACTAATCAAATTTACAATGGAAGGACTGCGTAATTGAGTTTTATCCTCATTCAAATGGGGATTTGATCGATAATGATGGCTGATGTTGCTGCGATTCAATTTTTCCATATAAATCGGACTAGGATTGTTTGTGCCATTCAAACCGTGCACATTAAAACTTTTGCTACGATTGATCGACTTGTATGTTCGAGCCGGTTTTTGTGGTCCTTGTGACGTCGACGGTGATCGTGCATTGTTCACAATCGCAATATTAATTGCAGACGAATGCATCGGCTTGTGTTCCAATTTACGTGGCAATGTCTGTGCACTGCGATAATCATAGTCCAAATGTGATGGAGATGTCTGCAATCGATTTGTGCTCTTACTGAACCGTCCCAGTGTATTCGCTGAATTTGACGACTGGTGTCTACGAGATGTGAAAGAAAAACGAAACGAAACAAGAGAGAGAGAAAAAAAACACAAAAAAATCAGTAAGCAGAAAACAAAAATTACATTATTTTCACAAATTACAACAACATTAATGACAAAATGAATGAAATTGATGTAAAACTATTTCGTGTTGAATGTGTCTGCAGGGCAGACGAATCGATAAGATTAAATTGCAAACAAATTACATCAATTCGCGTTGCTCGAAAAACGATTTTAACCACATTGTGATTTGTTTTATTTTGCCTTTGCCTTTGCCTCTATCCCTTGTTGGCTCTTCAATATACTATATCAAAGCGATTCACAGCAAAGCAATAAACATTCATCACTTGACGAAGAACGACAACTGAATGACTGTTTAAATGCGGTAATTGGCAGAGAATAGTCAGTCTCAGCCTCCGTCTCAATCAGACGATCAACGTAATTCTTCCATCCAATTCAAAACAATCAATACAACGATAAAATCTCAATTTGGTTAAACAGATTTTTGTTTCTTCTCAGTGTTTTTTTTTGTTGTTGTTGTTGTTGCCTCGCATGTTTTCGCTTTCGTTCTACCCGATGACAGCGTTTCGTTGAAGAGCTGTTTCTGCCGAAGATAAGGTAGCAACCACAATAACAAATCAATTAAAAATTCCATGGTAAATTGGTTTGTGCGAAATATATACAATGAGATCCACAGACACACACACACACACACACATACGCCTGGGACAAACGCGCAGTGTGAATAACATGAATGAATGAAATAGATTAATCGAAGAATAAAACACTACTTCTGATGGATCTTACAATTTTATAAATAATTTACTTTGTGTATGGCATGGCGGCGATGGCGGCGGTGGCGGCGGTTACCAACTTATTTATTTACATGTGGTTTTGTCTGTTCAGCGTGTGTCGTGCAAGCACAAATATCACACGACCAGTGTATTTCTGGCTGAAATTTTGAACACGACACCAAAACGGGCAATATCAAGGTAAAGAGGGAAAAAAAGCGTGACAATAACATAAACAAAACAAAACAAAACAGAAAAATATACTCTAAACGAGTCAAAAACAACCGTGTTATTTTTGAAAAGGCAAGTAGGCGTTCATTGTATCTGTCTACTGTGATCCCAACTACAATCGACTTAAGAATATGTCTAGTTGTGGCTCGTTTTGACATCACAAGCACAAAAAAAAACAACGCGTTGTATAAAAAAAGATCAAAGTTGTTGCTGCTTTTTTTCATAGGCTTTATTGATTGTAAGTACATGACTTTGGCCAGCCAATTGAGCAGAAGGAGATACTTTTTTGATTTAGTTTGTGTATCGTTCGATTCTTGGTATTTCAACTAGTTAAAAGGTTTTGCCGCCAAAGAAAATGCATCTCTTGTTATTTCTATGTTGTGATCTTTGTACAAGCGCTGAAATTAAGTTATATATTCAACATTGAAATCAACAATTTCTGTAACTATACCAATAAATCTGGATTTCGTGCAAATTGTGGTAAATATATGCGCCGAAAGCAATTTTGGCCTGTTAATTAAGTGATTTTTTCTCTCTCTTCCTCTCATTTTTGAGCTAGGGAATTCAAGAATTTTCATTCAGGTTCACCTGTGCTCAGAATGGCACAACACCTCATACCACATACAGATTTGCAAATTCCTTTGTCATAAAAGAAATCTCTTCATTCCATATCGAATGAGGGAAGGTATTAAAAGCTCAATTATCGCGTGATCACAACGACGAACCACAACGACAACGAGTTACTGCAGCCGCATAAATTAATGAATTATTATACCCATTCAGCGATGTCATTGTACGTACATAGAAACGAGGTCTTCCCACGCAACAAAGCCAAAACTCGATACAAACCAACATAACCAATTTTTGGAATCGGATTTGTTTCCCATTACGTTGGTATTTTTTAATTTCGTTTGATTGCAAAATATTGCAGGTTTTACGTTTTCAATAAACGATCGTCGACTGTGCTATAACATTCTATTGCTATTAGCGTTTTTTTTCTCATTTTGTCTCAACCGATAGCATAATAATTCATCCAGAAAATTTGTTTTGAAAGATTTCAAATAGAATTAACAAGCTTGATAAAAAAAATAATTCAACGCCAAATTGACGTGTTTATTCCGAATTTGAATGTATGAAATATGATTTGTTTTAATTAGACAATGGTGAATTCTTAAATCCTCTTACATATTCGTTGTATATATGTTTGTTTTCTTTTTGTCTAAATTCTTTTAAAAGTGTATTATTGGTGCAGGTTCAACTTCTGTACATATCGAAATATACAATGTGAGATTTAATCTTTTTTTACCCTGACATAATTTCAGTGTGACACTTTTATTCAGATTCCCATTCATTTCGGTGCATTTTTATTAATACACATGTTTCTCTTATGCCTATTTGCGGCCAATAAAAATTATGCTCTCATAAATGTAATAATAACAATAATTTTATTGTTGTCACTTATGTTGCCACACCTTGGTTTTATTATCCATTCTACGTTTTCTTTCACACCAATTCCAACGCCAAATGGAACCGATGAAGGAATCTGAATGGAAGTTTATACTTGTCGAACGAATCTAGTTACATAAAAGGAATTGTCAACAGCTCAGGCAAATATTTGGATACAAGATTATTTAATTGAATAAAAGCTTCACCCGAAAGAGTTCAAAAATAACAAAAAAAGAACTAAAAACATCGACTTTTCAAATGTGGACTTTTAGTTTCGATTTTTCAAACGTATCGATTACACAATACAAAACACGACACAATTGATGACAAAAAAAACGAGATAAATTTCAATGTTACAGTCGTAAATCGTGCGCAACAATGATGTGAGAATATTTCCGAGCTCATTTAAAAATTGGCAAACAAATGAGGACAAATAATTAGCATATCGATGATACATTGTTAAAGCGTAAAAACTGTATCGGAAATAAATGTGTATGGGGCACGATTGATTTGTGTGAATGACATTTTAATTGTATGTGACATATTATGTGAGTCTTTACACACAGACACACACGCTCCAATCCAATTAAGATGAAAATGAAACTGAAGCAGAATATTTGCGAATAAATGATCTTTTATTGTTTCGTTAGAACAGACACGTAAATGTTGCTTTCTGAGCGAAAAATTACGCTACGTGTACGTTAAACAATTATTAGAGTTTCATTTTAACATGGAATTCAACCTTGGAATTTTACGTATTTATGGAAAAAAATTACTTTATCGCGACCAACACTTGGGCTAGGCATTGCCGTCTTTGAAAATGGGAACGACGGTTGGTCGATCAATTGATGATTTCGTGGAACTGAAAACAAGTTGACACGAATTGATTCGCAGTTTTCTAAGAAACCCTGACACATCGTTTGTAAGCTAACGAAGTGCGCGGCACGGCTCAATCGAATTTGTTTGGCGCGGTGAGCCGGTGAGTGAATAGCAATATCGTTTTCAATTCGTCTTTGTTTTATTTGCGCTCGCGCTCACACGCACACACTATACTCATCACACGCAAAAAAAATTCTTTACTCCATATTTTTCATAATTGCACACATGTGAGCGAACAAACGGCGAATGCAGTACAATGAACCGAATTCAACGAACGAACAACAACAAAAAATATTGATCCGCAGGCGATTAGACAGCGATTTAGATTGGTTTAGATATACGGCCAATAGAATCATCTCTACAACAATTTTAGCAAACAATGCTCTGTTGCGATTTTATGTAACTCGTATCGTGCCAGCGCGTATTGATATTATTTCCCATTTTTTTATCGATGCCAATAAATCTTTTTAGACAAAACGATTGAGTTTATTTACGCCATGCGCAAGCCATATTTCCAATGTCTCAACCTTTGATAAATGGTATCGAAACAATGAGTAGCTTGCACATATTCTATTGCAAAGGTATTACTCTCTCGCCTACCATGCATCATGCCATTGTTGTTGTGGCCGATTCTCGCTTGTATTGATTGGCACACATGCAAAACCAGTTCCCATCTTCCCAAAGCGTTTGCCTTGCTTTTGAATTTTATTTCGTTTTTCTCTATCTGGCCAATAAATACAGCAAAGCTTTTATACAAACAACTGCGAAGAGTGAAAATAATTTGCATATATAGTTTTTGTGCTCGTCTTCACTTTTTTGACGTTTATTTCTATAATTGCACGCGTTTAGTCGTTGTTTTGATGAATATAGTGTGTAGAATGTTGTTTACAACTCTTAACTACATTTTTACGATCATGTTTGTTTTTTTTTGTTGCATTTTTTAATGAGAAAATTAAATAAAGATTTCGAATAGTCAGTTTATGAGTTATTAAATCTAGACAATGAATGTCTTTTCATCATCACTATGATTTTCCAATAGAAAACGAATCTACTCCTTATGTCAACAATTCCGCAGAAATTCAAAGTGAAAAAAGAAGTAAAAGTGACACAAATAATTTTGACGCAGTCAATAGAAACGAGTTTATATTTCTATGCTGAAGATGTTTGTCGATTCGCCTTGATATCATATGGCACATAAAGTGCAAATTTTGTCATCATTTTTACCATACGATTCACACTGACCGTAAATCTTTTTGATTCAAACTCGTAATCGTGACATTCGAATGATTTTTCATTCTTCAAATAATCATCAATACTGATTATTCACAAGGTATTTTTAAATCTAAGATTTAAAACGAACGATCAGGTTTATGATTTTATGTTATGTTGAAATGTAAATCTCAGCATGTAGTATATGTCAAGTGAGCGGCTTGACTGAGTGCTTTTTGTGAAACTCCATTACCGAAAATTAAATACCATTAACCAGATTTAAAAAAAAAACAGGTTTCACTTCGATATGCAAACGCCGATGATGGTTTTTGCAGTATTTTTTTTTTTTTTCGCAGAAAAAGAAAACAAAAACATTTCGAACGTATCGTATGTTTAAGTAAAAAAATTTAATTATAAATGGGTGACTTTTTGATCGCCCCAAGTATGGAAAGTATACATTTAGCAAGTGGAAATGTGATTGGCAGTTTTGAGCCATTGTTTTGAACAAAAAAAAAAGAAAAGAAAACGAAATGTGAAAATGAAGAGAGGATAAAATGCACATTGCACATACCTGTTTGGACTGTAGACATCAACGTCTTCTGAACGTTGGCGTTGTGATTGATATCGTTGTGCACGTTGTGTTCCTTCGTACTTGTTTTCCTTGCCATAAATACTTCCAAGGTACGGATTTTCTCCCAAATAATATTTTGGTTTATCTACTGCAGCTGTCATTGTTTTATTTTCCGATAAATTTCTACGATCGATTGTGCGCTCACCACCACCACGTCTACTGCTCACAATGCTTGAGTCACGATTGCTTGACAGTGGCGCTGTTGACAACGATGTTTGCCCAATGTGATTGTCGATCACATTATACTGTTGATACGTTGAACCGCCATTCACACGACCGAATGGTTGCTGCTGCTGCTGCTGTTGTTGTTGTTGGTGCTTCACCGATTGTTTGCTATTTTGCGGTGACAATGGCTGTTTCGCTTTCGTTTTCGATTTTCGGTCTACACTTGCCGAACGAATTTTACCGACTAATTTGCGTAGAGAATTGCTGATCGTCGCACCAACCGTGTTCTTCTTGATCGGTGTTGTTTGTGTTTCAATTGTATGCGTTGATATGGGTCGCGAAAGTTCAGATGACGATGCAAATCGTGTTTTCTGATACATTTTCTTCGGATTGCTGCGATAGTGTGTGGTTGGCGATGGGACCGGTGAAATTGAACGGCTGCGATTTGGTGGTGAATAGTCGGGCGCCGGTTCACGATGCGTTGGCTCAAAATCACGTGGTGTTGTTTCAATGATACGCATTTTCTTTTCGCGTTTTCGTTGTGGCACTGTCGGTCGAACTAGGTCGGGATCATACGCTTCGGGCGTTGGGCTTCGGATACCGCTATCAGGTGTACATAATGGCACCGTTTTTGGTGATCGAGGCTCTGTAAAGTATGTAGATGATGAAACATAGGCCGAATCATCTCGTTGAATTGTCGATGTGTTGTATTTAACGGGGTCTTTGTAGAGTTTCTCTTCTTCGCCACTATCTCTGATGAACGAATCCTCACGCATCGGCGTATTTCGTATATAACGCAAATCTTCGGTTGAACCTTTAACGTAACCTAAATTGAGAAATCGATTAATAAACGATGTGTAAAATGAAACTTTGTTTTGAAATGTTTGGCAATGTTTTTACTAACCGGAATCTTCGCGATGCAAATAGCTTGATTGTTGCTTTTTCGATTTGGCATAGAGATCTTCTTTTGAATCGTGTCGCGGTCGAATGTCAGTGCGTGAACCACTCATATAGCCCAAGTCTTCTTTTTGTGTCTTTAAATCGCCGCGAGATCCATATCGATTGTCGGTTTTGATATTTTTCTTGCGTGTATCATCATCCGATTTCACAATATCCTCTTTATAACGATTTGCAATTAAATCTTCTCGTGAAGATACATGACGCAAGCGGTTACGTTCTAGTGTACCCTTCAGTTCATCTTGGAATGTTTTCGTAGAGAATTTGCGCGGTGTGGTTTCTTTGCGTTCAGACCACCCAGTAATACCTTGGAAATATTTTTGAGGTTTTGGCGCTTCCTTCGGCTTAATGTTTGAATGATAGACACCGTTGCTCAAGGTCGGCAATGGCTCGTCGGCCGACACAGGCGACGCATGATTTGATTTGATAGTAACGTTGAAGAAAGATTCCTTCTTTTCGCTTTCCTCTTCTGTCGAATCAGGCGATCGGCCATCACTACTGCCAAAATGACTTTGCAGCCACTTGATGGTCTCATCTTTGCGAGTCTCTTCTTCTTTTTCAAAATCAATTGCACGATCCTTACGTTCTCGTTCTAAAAACGCTTCTGGAAAATGTAATTTTTCCAAAAAAAAAAAAAATGATTTTTAATATCAAAATCACCATGTTCGTTCAACAAACGTTTCAATTACCTCGATGTTGTTGTAATAAAGTTTTCTGTTGACGACGCGCTTTGCGCACACGATCCGATAAACTGTCCCAATCAGATGCATCCTCTTTCGGACCCGACCGCTCGATGTCCTCGGTTTCAGCTAGATATCTCATTTCTTTTCCAATTGTTTTACCATCAGCCACATACTCTACTTCTTGTTCATCACGACGCTTTGAGAATCGTTGCGATGATTCCTGTGTGCGTGTGTGTTTTTGTTCAAAAGTAATGAATGCATTTAACATCAATTTATTAAAACGTTTCTTCACTTACCTTGTGTTCGACGCGCTCTCGACTGCCAGTGGAATGATCGTCTGCCTCGGGCAATTCGTCGTCGTGAAATTCTTCGTGTTCAGTTGTTTGTCTTTTCTCTGTAACTAGTGTGCCATCAGGTTGTGCTGAACATTTCAAATCGGTGTCTTCGGTATCGATTATTTTTCGTGCCTTCGTTGAGTGATGAATAAGTCGGGGCCCCGTTGGTATTAGCTGCTTTTGTGCTTCCGGTGATAGCAATTCCTGTATTTCGACGCCGTTGTTTACTGCGTTGACGTATGCCTGTCAATCAAAGAAAATGATAATAGCATTAGGTTGCGTGTAATATCCAATAATTTTTAATATTTAATTAATATATTTGAAGAAGAAAAAAAAGCAATTCATTAAACTCAAACCGCATGCAAATTCATTTAATACTCAAACATGTTTGCCTGCATACTCGCATTTGTTTTTATTCAAAGAAAAAACCATAAAGAGATATTAATGTGGAAATAAATGGACTTAAACAACGTACTCGTGCTGAGATTATGTCTTTCACCGATTTTAATTTGCATAAAAACTAGGACCCAACGAAAGATATTAAGAAAAACGGGTTACATACACACATTACTTTTCAATAATAATAATATGTGATTAAAGCTTGACCAAGCAATGAAATGAACGTGCGACGCACTTTCACCGTTCGAGAAGAAAAAAATGATTTCGTGTCATATGTCATGTGTCACTGTTACAACGATTAAACTATGTGAATCGTCATCGCCATATCAATAACTATAATTTAAATGCGGATGACAAAAAAAAATCATTTTAATTTTAACATTCCAAATAGTCGATGCTCATGAGTCGAATGCCATTCAATTTGTTCCATCTACTGCGGATTTTTTTTTTTTTTGTAACTTTTCCAGACAGCAGTTCGCAAAAAGCACACACAAACTCGTTCCATACATTTCAATTGATAAATTGCAGACATACACGTATCGCACCTCGCGCGCGCGCTCGAGCGCACCATTGTCAATTTCCGGCTTTCAATTTGTTGTGTTATGGGAAACTAGTTTGTGCAGAGCAATTGGTGAAGCATCAAAAGTGGAAGAATAATTATTGAAATTTTATGAGAATGTAGTGTGCAATAATGATCTTCATTGAAAGTGAACAACAAGCACCAATACATAACCGTCATTTTTTTATTTATGGTTTTTTAAAATACGAATATTTCATACTGCAAGCGACAGATGATAGCCAACAAAACTGACCTGTTTTACTCCATAAAATAAATGAACTAACTACAACGATGCAGCGAATTTACGTTGCAAAATCGAATAATTTGTAATATTTTATTTAAATGTCAACGCAGTCATTGTTGCCGCTGCGCGTTGCAGATATCGCTTATTCATTGACCATACCACACTCAATCGATTTGAATTTAGATACAGAGAAATGAAATCGAATGGGAATTAAGTTATACACATGCATCCAAAAACTAACTCGAATTTATTACTCGAAAATATATCGTTGCCATTAGTGAAGCGCAATGACGACGACGGCGGCGGCAGCTTCTTCTTGAAGCATTCCATCGACGTTGTCGTCGTCGGTGTTGATTCAATTGAAATTGAATCCCCTGCGCTTAATCTTTTTCGCAAACAACGATCAAATCTTTTATAAAATTTGAATTCGGTACGAGAGGCGAAAAACATTCACTTTCTATTGCAATCGGGAAAATGGTATGCGCTCGCATCGAACAAAAGCGATGGAAAACGATGTAAAAGTCAAATGTCTCTTTGTTTATGGTTATGAATTTTGTATTTGCTGTGCGAGAGAGCGTTGGAATGATTCTTTAGTTTATTTTAATTTTTTGCCTTCATATTCGCTTCGTATTCCATTAAATTTTCATGCATGTGTCGGTTTGGTTCATGTCTAAACTCCAAGAAATGCATTCCATTTATGGATTATTATGGGATACGAGATGTACAATGGCTGTTTACTAGCAACAGCAACATGTTCACCTATTTGCTTCTTTAAATATTCCTTCTGTGTTATACAAGTGATGAAAACAACAGTACCAAAAACCGAACTACACCGAACAAAAAAGAAAATGTAAACTTTTATATTCATAATGCGAGAGTTACACCATTATGGAAGTTTGGTTGTGTTGTTGTTCAGATTTGTGTTTTTGTTTTGATGTGATGCCGGTTGTTAGTGCTTCAATGTTTTATTTATTTATTTAGTGTGTTCGTTACAAAAGAAACAAGATTCCAAATCATCGACGGAATAATTTCGCATGAATAAATCGCATCTTGATTCGCTACGGATTTAGTTTTAAACAGCGATGCGATTGATGTTGTGTGTACAAAGTTTAAAATTACACACACACACTTACACTCACGCCAACTACGCATGAAATTATCTGGGCGATTGGTTTACTGGGAAATGTTTTCGCTTTTCTCATGTCGTGTGTCCGACCGAGTTATGTAATAGAATGTCGTGAACGAAATCGAAAATGTATGCATGTCATTCGGGTGCAACTATCGTGACCATTATAATAATGACATCAAATTCATTGGAATGCGCTATACTCAATCGATGGACATGCCTGTTTGTGCAAAGAAAAAAACTGAGTTTTCGTTTAGAAGTGAATAAAAGATTATGTGTATTTTATAGTTTACGGTTGCCAATCGAAAGATCAAACGATATTCGACGGTAAAAAGGTTTAAAACATGAATAATTGGGGTCTGCAGCCGATTATTTTTGCCGATTTCTGTGCATCACGTCATGCAAGGTACAAAATGTTGATAGCATTATCACACACACATGGCATAGTTTTTCTACTTGTATTGAATGATGCTTCTGCATGAACAAAATCGACAATTATATAATCATTTATATTTAACGCGATGGAAGAAAATAAGTGCACAGTGCAGCCTACCAAAACATGTGAATAATGAACATTGATCGCTTCCCAAATGTTGCACCATTGTTTTGCCATGTATTGGCATTCAGTTGCTGTTCATTTTTCGCTGCAATTTCGGTGTGAACTTTTTCGCCCGTTTGAATGACGCAACCAATTTATTAATAACAATTTGCAAAATATTTTCAGTGCCCAATTTAAATGGTATTGATCGCAATACCAAAATTGAGAGTGAAAAATCATACATTGAGTTGACTGGGAAATGGCGAGCATTAGAAAGGCAGGAAATCGATCCAGTTTCATCAAAATGCATATTATTATGCTGCATTTTCGTGCATTCGAAGCTGGTAGCATGGATTTTTATGGAAAATATATACTTATAAAACACACCGAGAACCACCTGAATCACTTTCATTTTATTCAGTGCCCGTCGATGTAGTCGCTGTCGACATTCGATTGATTCAAAAACAAAGCTTATAATCTTTGTTCGATTGCGCTATTTATGCACAGACAAAAAAAAAATGAAATAAAATATATTCCGTTTGTTGTGCACATACAATACACGATCTCACTCATATTCCATGGCCATTAAGCAATCAAAAGAATGCGTCGACTATTCAAGCTGATCCTATCAACAGAAAATATGTTTTCAGCATAGGTTTTCTCGTCTCCAGTAAAATTGAAACTGAAAATTAAATATGCATAAAAATAAACGATTTTCCCTTTCGATCGTCTGCATTGTGTGTGTGTTTTTTGTTTTTGTTGTTGTTTATTCAAGGTAGAGTGCTTACGCACACGCATTTCATTTTTTATTCTTCATTGAATCAAAAGTAAGACATACAGACATCAAGTTGATCAAGTTTGGTTTGCCGGTATTATTTCGTTTGTTGATTGAAAAAATAAATAATAATAATTTCATGAAATGAAAATGTATTCGAGCGTCGCCATTCGCGTTCCATTCGCGATTAACCTGGTCACTTAAACGGTAGAGTCATACAACAAAAGAAAACAAGCAGAGCACGCAAATTGCCATAGACGGATGAAACTGGCTCGCATTTATTATAATGCGTTATTCATAGATTTGAGCGAATGCACATTCACACACATAATTATGGAAATATCGTGTGCACATATTGCTCTCTCTCGGTCCGGATATATGTATAGTACGAGAAAACTTGCAAACAAACAAATCCAATATGAAAAATAATATCGGCAAAAAAACACACACACACACAGCCATTGCGCTGAAGTATACAAAAATTCATTGAAAAATTATCGTGGTTTATTTATGAAGTGCACCACTGTAAAGTGACCATAAAAATATTTTTTTACCGTCGAAGAAATCAAATATATAAGTAGAAAGATCAGCGGGAAAAAATTAATTGGCCACATTCCCTACGCATTTATTTATAGACGGCACAAACAATGCATAGTTCGCAGTACGCTTTTCATGTTTTCCAACCACGAAAAAAGTCCATAATTTTATTTTCGATCGCTTATCGATTGATTCACCATTTTTCCCCAGTGTATGGTACATATGGTATCCAATTGTGGAAATCATCGAAACTGATGGTTGAAAAAAGCAACGCACACACATATTGCAACCGTCAAATTTAGTCCATGGAATATTTTAAGGTCGCAAAATTTCATTTTTGCTCGCTTTTGTGAATCGTATGAGTGATAGGTTTTTGTGCACTCATCGAATATTTGAGCGGGTATTGCATCAATATTTGTATGAATAATTTAAATTATTGTTATTATGGAGGAAAAAAATGACGCACATTGGTCAATGAACGTAACCAGTATGCGATTCATTCGAAAGGGTTTTTTTTCGGAATTTCATACATGATGGATTTACATTTGAATTAATTGTGAAGTGCAGCTCGAATTTATCTATATAAAGTAATCAGTATGGTGCTTTTTGGCCACATTTTTCTATAAAAAAACGTGAATCCCATTATATTTGATTGAATGACCCACGTTGCGTTTTTTCGTTTTTAAATGAATGGTGCACGTTGAAAATTACTTTGAACCATATCAATTTTCGTAATCCTGCATTGAATCAAGGTTTTGTTTTTAAATTGACAAAATTAAAATGCGTATTGCGAAGGGCAGTCGAATTGAAAATGTTGATATTTGTACAATATACAACATTAAAATTGTCTATTGAGTAAATTGAATACAAACAAAATGTTAAATCAAATAAATAGAGCAAAAAAAAAAACAATAGCCGATGGCATTTAACATTTTGTTATTTAAAATAAGTGAAAAACAGCAACATTTATGAATTGCTCCAAACGTGCATTAATCAAAATAATAATGGTCTGCACTGGAATAAATTCATTAAAATAATGGTGATAATTTATCAACATTGCTTGTG